TGGCCTCCACAGTCACCGGACCTGAACCCAGTCCAGATGGTTTTGGAGTGAGCTGGACCACAGAGTGATGGCGAAAGGGCCAACAAGTGCTAAGCATCTCTGGGAACTCCTTCAAGACTATTGGAGACCATTTCAGGTCACTACCTCTTGAAGCTCATCAAGAGAATGCCAAGAGTGTGTGAAGCAGTAATCAGAGCAAAAGATGCTACTTTGAAGAACCTAGAATATAAAGACATATATTCAGTTGTTTCATATTATTTGTTTTCTTATCCATTAAGTAACTAATCCATAAATTATTTTCATCCAAGATGTATGTGTATGTATGGCACAGGTGTTGCTCTACTTAGAAATAAAGTCACCAGAAGGAAAACTAAAGATTAAGGCACATGCAGCAGATAACGAAGATAATGCATATTTTTCATTTGTTTTTGTTGCGTTGTCATCCTTAAAGTAACGTGCCCATTTTATTGGTTATGCGTGTATGAAAGTAAGGAGCAACAGTAACTAGAAACTTGCAATGGCTGAAGCCATTGCGATTGACTGCGGAACAGATCTAATGTGGAAATCTGCTAAAAAAAATCCTTGAAATCCTTTAAAAAGCCTTGAAACTGTTAAAATACTTGATAGATATTTGAAACTCCTGAAGTCCTTGAAATTGTTGAAACCTTTAAACTCCTGAAATCCTTGAAACTGTTGAAACATTGAAACTCCTGAAATCCTTGAAACTTTTTTAAACCTGGAAACTGTTGAAAGTGTGGAAACTCCTGAAATCCTTGAACCTCCTGATATCCTTGAAACTGGTTAAATTCTTAAACAGCTGAAATCCTTGAAACTACTGAATGTATTGAAAGTGTCCTTGAAACTGAAAAATCCCCTCACCGCTGAAACAATTTGGTTCCTGTAACTAAGGAAACCTGGTCTGTGGTCATTATCTGGTGGTGGTCTGAGTCTTCGTTTGGGTCTTGGTCTGGTGGTATAATGCAACCTATTAGGTTGCATTATACATGAAAAAACCCTATTAAGTTGCATTATACTGGTTTACATGAAAAAAACCCTATTAAGTTGCATTATACTGGTTAACATGAAAAAAACCCTATTAAGTTGCATTATACTGGTTTACATGGAAAAATCCCTATTAAGTTGCATAATACTGGTTTACATGGAAAAATCCCCATTAAGTTGCATTATACTGGTTTACATGGAAAAAACCCTATTAAGTTGCATTATACTGGTTTACATGGAAAAATCCCTATTAAGTTGCATTGTACTGGTTTACATGGAAAAAACCCTATTAAGTTGCATTATACTGGTTTACATGAAAAAAACCCTATTAAGTTGCATTATACTGGTTTACATGTAAAAACCCCTATTAAGTTGCATTATACTGGTTTACATGGAAAAATCCCTATTAAGTTGCATTATACTGGTTTACATGGAAAAATCCCTATTAAGTTGCATTATACTGGTTTACATGGAAAAATCCCTATTAAGTTGCATTATACTGGTTTACATGGAAAAATCCCCATTAAGTTGCATTATACTGGTTTACATGAAAAAAACCCTATTAAGTTGCATTATACTGGTTTACATGAAAAAAACCCTATTAAGTTGCATTGTACTGGTTTACATGGAAAAACCCCTATTAAGTTCCATTATACTGGTTTACATGTAAAAAAAAAACCCTATTAAGTTGCATTATACTGGTTTACATGGAAAAATCCCCATTAAGTTGCATTATACTGGTTTACATGAAAAAAAAACCCTATTAAGTTGCATTATACTGGTTTACATGAAAAAAACCCTATTAAGTTGCATTATACTGGTTTACATGGAAAAATCCCTATTAAGTTGCATAATACTGGTTTACATGGAAAAATCTCCAATTAAGTTGCATTATACTGGTTTACATGAAAAAAACCCTATTAAGTTGCATTATACTGGTTTACATGGAAAAATCCCTATTAAGTTGCATTGTACTGGTTTACATGGAAAAATCCCTATTAAGTTGCATTATACTGGTTTACATGAAAAAAACCCTATTAAGTTGCATTATACTGGTTTACATGTAAAAACCCCTATTAAGTTGCATTATACTGGTTTACATGGAAAAATCCCTATTAAGTTGCATTATACTGGTTTACATGGAAAAATCCCTATTAAGTTGCATTATACTGGTTTACATGGAAAAATCCCTATTAAGTTGCATTATACTGGTTTACATGGAAAAATCCCTATTAAGTTGCATTATACTGGTTTACATGCTTGGGCCTAATTAAAATGCATTGCAGAATTTTGATTGACTGCGGAACCTTCCGCAGTCAACCATTGGTTTTGTATTTCTTTATTCCGTCATTTTTTTTGACACGTTTCACAGCTTTCACATTTTCAACAATTTCCACAAGTTATACATCAAAACGTTCCACATGTTTGGGAGAGATTATTGCTATTACTTTTGGGACTTCAGCGATTTCCGGTTTTTCCGCAATCGGACAAAAATCTGCATTGAGAATTCTGCAATGCATTTTAATAGGCCCATGCATTTTAATAGGACTTCAGCTCTTTCAGACATTTCTACAGTTTCAATGATTCAACAGTTTCAAGGATTCAACAGTTTCAAGGATTTCAGCAGTTTCAAGATTTCAAGAGTTTCAAGGACTTCAACAGTTTCAAGGACTTCAGCAGTTTCAAGGACTTCAGCAGTTTCAAGGACTTCAGCAGTTTCAAGGACTTCAGTGTAATCATGCAACCTAATAGGGATTTTTCCATGTAAACCAGTATAATGCAACTTAATAGGGATTTTTCCATGTAAACCAGTATAATGCAACTTAATAGGGTTTTTTCATGTAAACCAGTATAATGCAACTTAATAGGGTTTTTTTCATGTAAACCAGTATAATGCAACTTAATGGGGTTTTTTCCATGTAAACCAGTATAATGCAACTTAATAGGGGTTTTTACATGTAAACCAGTATAATGCAACTTAATAGGGGTTTTTTACATGTAAACCAGTATAATGCAACTTAATAGGGTTTTTTCCATGTAAACCAGTATAATGCAACTTAATAGGGATTTTTCCATGTAAACCAGTATAATGCAACTTAATAGGGTTTTTTCCATGTAAACCAGTATAATGCAACTTAATAGGGATTTTTCATGTAAACCAGTATAATGCAACTTAATAGGGTTTTTTCCATGTAAACCAGTATAATGCAACTTAATGGGGATTTTTCCATGTAAACCAGTATATGCAACTTAATAGGGATTTTTCCATGTAAACCAGTATAATGCAACTTAATAGGGTTTTTTCATGTAAACCAGTATAATGCAACTTAATAGGGTTTTTTTCATGTAAACCAGTATAATGCAACTTAATGGGGATTTTTCCATGTAAACCAGTATAATGCAACTTAATAGGGGTTTTTACATGTAAACCAGTATAATGCAACTTAATAGGGTTTTTTACATGTAAACCAGTATAATGCAACTTAATAGGGTTTTTTCCATGTAAACCAGTATAATGCAACTTAATAGGGTTTTTTCCATGTAAACCAGTATAATGCAACTTAATAGGGATTTTTCCATGTAAACCAGTATAATGCAACTTAATAGGGTTTTTCCATGTAAACCAGTATAATGCAACTTAATAGGGATTTTTCCATGAAAACCAGTATAATGCAACTTAATAGGGATTTTTCCATGTAAACCAGTATAATGCAACTTAATAGGGTTTTTTACATGTAAACCAGTATAATGCAACTTAATGGGGATTTTTCCATGTAAACCAGTATTATGCAACTTAATAGGGATTTTTCCATGTAAACCAGTATAATGCAACTTAATAGGGATTTTTCCATGTAAACCAGTATAATGCAACTTAATAGGGTTTTTTCATGTAAACCAGTATAATGCAACTTAATAGGGTTTTTTTTCATGTAAACCAGTATAATGCAACTTAATGGGGATTTTTCCATGTAAACCAGTATAATGCAACTTAATAGGGGTTTTTACATGTAAACCAGTATAATGCAACTTAATAGGGTTTTTTCCATGTAAACCAGTATAATGCAACTTAATAGGGTTTTTTCCATGTAAACCAGTACAATGCAACTTAATAGGGATTTTTCCATGTAAACCAGTATAATGCAACTTAATGGGGATTTTTCCATGTAAACCAGTATTATGCAACTTAATAGGGATTTTTCCATGTAAACCAGTATAATGCAACTTAATAGGGTTTTTTCATGTATAATGCAACCTAATAGGTTGCATTATACCACCAGACCAAGACCCAAACGAAGACTCAGACCACCACCAGATAATGACCACAGACCAGGTTTCCTTAGTTACAGGAACCAAATTGTTTTTCAGCGGTGAGGGGATTTTTCAGTTTCAAGGACACTTTCAATACATTCAGTAGTTTCAAGGATTTCAGCTGTTTAAGAATTTAACCAGTTTCAAGGATATCAGGAGGTTCAAGGATTTCAGGAGTTTCCACACTTTCAACAGTTTCCAGGTTTAAAAAAGTTTCAAGGATTTCAGGAGTTTCAATGTTTCAACAGTTTCAAGGATTTCAGGAGTTTAAAGGTTTCAACAATTTCAAGGACTTCAGGAGTTTCAAATATCTATCAAGTATTTTAACAGTTTCAAGGCTTTTTAAAGGATTTCAAGGATTTTTTTTAGCAGATTTCCACATTAGATCTGTTCCGCAGTCAATCGCAATGGCTTCAGCCATTGCAAGTTTCTAGTTCTGATTCTGATAATACATTTGTCCCTGGTCCCTTCAACCCAAAGGACCAGTGCAGTTTCTCGCTTGAGAAACGTAAATCACATGTGAACAGCAGGATTATGTTTTCAAACAGATGTTGCTTCAGAGAGGCCACAGTTGAGGACACAGAGCACATAAAAGTTGACATCACACATATGAAAAGCAGGTGATTTCTGGACTTATGACTTTGAGGCAGGATGCACTGATTGCTCTCTTCCCTTTTTTTCTTTCTCAGGTTGAAGGTTGATCAAGGTGATGGTCTTTTTTGGAGGTGATTGTTCTATTTTCTATTCTTATATTATTCTAATACCTTTGTCTTGTATGAATAATTGTTCTCTTATTCAATTTTTATCCCCCATCATAACTATTAGATTGTTGTTATATACTTGACAGTAAAACAACTTGTGTATAATGTACGTGTTTGGAGTTGTAAAGACTACAACATTGAATAGTGTGAGACTTGCAGTATATGCTCTTTCCAAAATAAAATTTAAAAAATAATCAAGAACACATCAAAAACACTTCAATTTTTGGCATAGATGAAATCCAGTTGAATGTGTTATTTCACTGCAATATATCCATGTAAAAACAGTTGCTTTTGATGTTCATAGTTTAGGTATAGTATTTAAATTGTAGTTCCTTTTATCATTTTGCATCTTGGAGACTGAAGCTTCTGTTCTGGTGACAACTGCTCCTTAGATGTCCCTGTCCATCTGCTCACACACGGCCCAGGTGCAAACACATTTAGTTCAAAGGGACAGTGCTAACAGACAGGAATCTATTGTCACCGGTCTGCACATTCCAAGGTCTAAGGCTGGTTTACAGTGTAGTATATAATAATCAAAATTGTACTTATAATGTAATACTTTTACGGTACCTACATTTCAAACTAGAGAAAATTGTAATTACGTGGTCAAATCTACAAAATGAGTTCATTGCTCTCTAAATACTTGGGTCACTAGTTTTTACACAAATGTATTTTTGGCCTCTTTCATCTTTAGATGTGCTTTTTCAGACAGAAAAGTGAACAGAGGAGGACCACCCTCATTCAGCCAATCAGCTCTTGTCCCAAATTGTCAAACAAAAATTAATTATTAATAAAAAGATAAGGAGATGTTTCTACAAAATGATTATACCGAAGGGAACATGCTATGCCTCTAAAATCAGAACAGGAAAGACTGTTAGAAAATGATGTGGTGATCTATTTTGGTCTCACATCCTGTTTGCTTTTACGAGTAATTTAATATTATTTTTATTTTTTGTATTGCATATGTGCTGCCTGAAACTGAAATAGAGCTTGACTCCATTTCAGTTTCTATATCGAGTCCGTTTCTATGTGCTTCCTTGCTTCTTCCCGATCTTGTTTGCCAGTGAATGCGGCCTATACCAAACCGTTTGATGCTAGTTTAATTCCAGCACAGCGTAGACAAAACTGTCCTGTACTCTCCCACTATTAATATGAGCAGACCTTACCGAGACTCAACCACAGAGGACAGCCGGCACCACCACAAAACTCTTGCCTCTCTGCAACTGAATCCAATAGGGTCAGGTCTCTCTATTTATACGCTGTGTATATTTACAACAGGACAAATGATTCGGATGGTGGTGGTGGCAGAGAGAAAGGAGAACCCGCATTTAAATGGCAAGTTATTCTAAAATGGCAAAGAGTTGATTGGAGGTCATTTGTACGGTCAGGAGGGATTCGATGATTTTCTAAATGTTCTGTAATGAGTTACGCCCTTTTTGGGGTCACCCTTTTGGGGTGCCATATTTATCATTCCTGTGCTGAACGGCATTTGTGCGTTTTTAGTGGTATAGCCTTGTTGGACATGTATGATAAATCACTTGGGCCGATGTTAATGGTGCTGTTAATCAGTTTTGCTCTCACCCTTTTGTCAGTGAAATAAGACACTTGTTGAGACTCACCATCAAAATATAACTCATAGCCACGGAACTCAATTTTCTATATGGATAATGTAAATGTATATTTTCACAAATTATGATTTATGAATTACTATATAATATTAAATGATCAAAATAATGTAATCAAACTCTGGAATCAAAGAAATGGAAAAATAAATAAAGTTATTTATTTAAAAAAATCTGCCAAAGGTTTTACAATTTATTTCAAGTATGCTTTTTTTTATTGTTTATTTGGTTAGTACAGTGCATGTTAATGAACACACATCACTGGATTGTGGCCTTGGGCTAATTTTTGATCCGTTGTCCCACAGTCGCAGTCTCAAACACACTAATTCACCCTGAACTCTTTTACATGTTTATAGTGGTAGGGGAAACTGGAGCACATGGAGAAAACCTACGCAGACTCGGGGAGAACATGCCAACTCCACACAGAAAGACCTGGAGGTGGAATCAAACCCAAGACCGTCTTGCTGTGAAGCAGAAGCAACCACTGTGCCACCGTGCTACCAATCATGGTCTTAAATTAAAGGCCTTTTTTAATATCATATCTTTTGAGATTTTTTTTTTTTTGCAGTGAAGCTTGGATGTTTTCTTGGTATTTTTATCTTAACTTGACCGTGTGCAATTATTTTAAAATAATGCACCTCGAGATGTGTTAGCATACTGTATGTAACGTGCGTTATACATAAAATGTAATATTATTATTATTATTATTATTCTGTGTGGTCATCATCACTGCTAATATTACTTCATCAATTACTTTCCAAATGTTTGGTAGTACGATTTTTCTGTCACCCCTCTTTTCCTTTTTTTAAAGTTATGTTTAATTCTCCGTCTAATTTTCTCATTTGTTTTGTCTTGTTTGTTCATGCTACCTGCTAAAGTTGGCGATTTTTCATTTGTTTCCTTAACAGGCTAAACATAGAGATTTTATACTTGCTTCTTTATTATGCTAGTTGTATGCAAGTTTTTATTTTATTTTAGATTAGATAATTTTGTTCATTTGTGTAGTGTGCTTCTCATACATGTGACCAGTGAAACAGTGATGCAACATTGAAATTTCCCCACTTGCGGAACGAATGAAGGATGTTATTTTTAAGATTAAGACGTGATGAACATTGATACCATTGCTTTATACCCTTTTCGTCATTTTACTTATTTTTCTTGCTTCAAACTCTGCTTAACTTGCCTTGAAGTTTGAGTATTTTGAGTTTCCCTGTTCCGGGATTTGACCTGTAGCTCCACTCGTCACACAGAGGGGGCTGCACAGCTGGACCAGGCACTCGACAGTTTCATGAATTGTGGAGATGTTAGCGACTGATAAGAGGACTAGATGTTCAGAGAGTGAAGAAGGATCACCAAAACACATGGCTTTCCAAAAACATTAATTAAAGCTTCTGTCATGGGCTCACATCTGGAAAACTCAAATGATTTAAGTACAGTTTTCAAAGATATGTTGCATGAATAGGTTATTTCTCTCTCAAAACAAGTCAATTGAAGAAAAAAATCACTCTTCCCCCAGAGTTTGAAGGCCATTTTTTCATAAATACATATCTGGACATTTGAAATTGTACCCTGAAGATTTATTTAGAGGGTTCAATGAAAAGTGTGATACAAAATGCTTGGATAGATGGCATTTTGAGTATTTGACCCCCACTTAAAGAGGTTACTAGGTGCCTCGTTATGTTTTCCTCTGAGCATTATGTCCCAAGGCTTTTTCTATACCACATCAATCACATTTTTGGAATCAGTGGTTGTGATTAGACATTTATTTATCTGTGTGATCGATAGAACTGCTGTAATCTGTAGAGAAATTGCAGACATCGTTTTATCAATAGTGAAGTCAGATTTTATCTGAAGATAAATGGATGTATTTTTGGTATGACATGGCATTTTAACATGGCTTATAGTTGACAAAAACAATGTGCACACATATAGTCTGCCTGGATTTACTGTAGACATTCATTGATAATAAAGTATCAAAAAAGAATTGCAAATGTATTAGAATCAGCATTTCATATACAGTATAGTGTTCTTATAGTAAAGGTATTTTCTACTTTTGGGTGGATAATCAAGACTATTGGTCCACCCAATCAAATAAGACCAGAGAGTTTTGTCAAAAAACTCTCTGGTCTCTCAAAAAAGAATGTATACCTTTTAAGAATTAAGAAATGGCTTATTACAGCACAGTAACAGCTACACCTGTGTCACAGCTAGGACATCACACTAGGAGTCCACATGCCCCCTGACCTCTGCCACCTACTGCAAAAACACCACCTTCATAAATCAGTTTTTGTACATGGGTAGAAGCTTGTAAAAAACATTATGTAAAATGAGATCAAGAATAGAGCTTATTTCATTGAGTAAAGTGTAAATGAAAACAAAAAATGTGCTCAATTGCTCATTGAAAATAATCTATTCTCATTCAATTGTCATTTCCAAGTTTTTTGTGTTAGGAGAGAATGGAGCTTTCTGCATGGGGGTTCTCCCCCATTCCTGCCCAATGGCTCGTCTCAAATTAGCCATGTGGGCCGGAGGCTCCCTCCTAGTGCTGACAGAAGGAGGAGCCAGAGCCTGTCACTGTCTAGTGTTTCATTATTACCTGCAAAGCCCTGTAGCATTCACCACACTGTGTGTCTGTGTGGACACTTCATCAGAGAGAGGAGCACAGAGGAGCAACCTAAGCTGAGGATCAGATCTTCACAGACTTTTGCCTTTTTTCATTCTGCTCAGTCAAAAACGGACCCTGACACTGACTGAATTACATTGCAGAACAACTAGCAGTGGACATGGCTGGTTGTCTGCTCAATTACAAACTATTTAAAAAGCAGCCATTTCTGCTTATCACGTTTATATTATATTTTGCAGCAGTTGGAGCAGAGCCATTTGAGCACAATCACCTGTATCAACACAGAACTGGACCTAATGAAGACTCTATCATTGTAGCTAATAATGGGATCAGGGTGCCATTGGGACGCTCTGTGTTTTTGGATCCACTCAATGACCTTGTGACAGAAGTAGAGCCTGGAGACCGCTGCCATATCACAGTTTTGGACAATGATCCTCTTGCCCAAAAACCTGGAATGCTCACTCCGAAAAAGTTCCCCTGTTCTTTTGGACCGGATGAAGTCAAATACACTCACTTTGGATCTCGGAGTCCCAGTAAAGACCGTGTCAAACTGCAGCTCCGGTATGACTCCCAGACCGACACCATTATTATTCCCTTCATGCTAGAAGTAGAAGTTGTCTTCCAGCAGCTTGAAATTCTGACCAGAAATATGCCCATAAATGTAGAAAAGCTTAATGGTGAGAGTAACCCCATTGACAAAAAAGGCCTGGAGTTCTCATATGAGGATGATGTTACGCAATGTAAGATTACCACTCTGGTCGGCGCAGGAGGACTGCCCAGGTATGGCACCCTTTTGAATAACCCTGCCAATGGCCAAATGGTTGACTGTGATGAGTTTGTGAAAATGGGTATTGTGTACAAGCACATAGCAACAACCAAATCTCCCAATAGAGACTATGTTCCAATGATGATAGAGCTGCAGGACAGGGAGGGCAACACTATTATGCAAGAACATTTCCAAATGATGATAAGAATCAGAGAGGGTGCAGAAAATAGTGCTCCTAAGCCAAGTTTTGTATCTATGATGATGATGGAGGTTGATCAATTTGTAATGACAGCAATCACAAATGATATGTTGGCTGCAGAAGATGTGGAGTCGGATGCAGATGACTTAATCTTCAACATAACCTCACCTTTAAACCCGCAGCAGGGTTACATTATCAGCACTGATGACCAAAACCTTCCTATCACCTCTTTTTATCAGAGAGACATCAAAGATCTCAAAATAGCCTATAAGCCACCTTCGGAGGACTCAGATGTTGAGAGGATATTCCAGCTAGAGTTTGAAATTATAGACACAGATGGTGCAGTGTCCGATCCATTTGCTTTTATGATTGTGGTGAAGCCTATGAATACATTGGCACCAGTAGCTACAAGAAATACAGGGCAGCTTTTGTTTGAAGGTCAGTCTCGTCCAATATCCAGCACCAAAAATTTAGAGATTAGCGATGAGGACAATTTGGAAGACGTTAGAATAACTGTTGTGGATGGCTTGAAGCATGGAGAACTTACTATTCTTGGGAGTCGGAGGAAGTTTTTCACACCTGCTGATTTGGACTCAGGCATTGTGGTATACCAACATGATGGCAGCGATACATACAGTGACAATATTATCTTTAGAATGACGGATGGCAGTAATGAAGTTGAATTTTTGTTCCCCATAACAATTGCCCCAACTGATGACGAGCACCCAATTATTAATGCTAATACTGGTCTTGTCTTATTCAAAAATGAAGTTATGCAAATCTCGCCCTTTATTCTCAGTGCAACTGATATTGATTCTGAGGACTCTACCATTAAGTTTGTTGTGGAAGCACCTTATTCAGCTGTTGGAGAGCTCCTGCTAAGACAAATAGAACCTCCATCTGACCCATCTCTTTGGAAATTCAGTGAGACAGACGAGATGTTTGAGCAAGTAGTTACTGAATGGTTTCAACAAGACATTCTTGATGGAAAGCTATTTTACCGACACATAGGCCCTCACAGCACATCTGTTGTTATTGACCAGTTTGTATTCCGTGTTCAAGATGATAATGACCCTCCCAACCAGTCGGGAGAACATATTTTTACAGCAAAAATCCACCCTGTCGATGATATAATCTCTGAACTTTGCCCAGGAACGACTCTTCATATAACAGTCCAAGAGTATGAGCTGACACAATTCAAAAAGAAATTCTTATGTTATACTGATTTAGATTCAGATGACAGGGATCTTAAGTACACAATTATTAAGCCACCTACAGACACTGATGAGAACAATCCAGCACCATTGGGGGAAATCGTCCTAACTGATAATCCTGACATTGTAATAACGGAGTTCACACAGGCTCAAATTAACCACCACAAAGTTTCATACAAACCACCTGACCAGGAGCTTGGAATTACCCCAAAAGTGGCCCAGTTCACATTTATTGTCGAAGACACAGCTGGAAACACCGCTGACGGACTATTCACTATATTCCTTCAACCTGTCGATAACAAACCACCACTTATCATCAATACTGGTTTCACAGTTTTGGAACGAAGCCCGTACGTTCTCACTAAAAAGGAATTGCATGCCAGTGATACTGATACAGATGATGATAACATTGTGTTCACAATTGTCCAAGTTCCCCAGCATGGAAAGTTTCAGTTTTTTGGAATTGACATGACCAATGGAGAAACATTTGTACTAGAAGACATCGCAAATGGTCGTCTTGCTTACATCCATGGTGGCGAGGAGTCTGTCAGTGATAGCATCAAAATAGATGTCAGTGATGGATTTCATGAAGTACCAATCACAATTAAGATTACAATTGAGCCAGTAGATGATGAGAAACCCACAATTATGCTCCCAGCTGGCCTGCTTGGGGCCTCAATTGATGTATTAGAGAATGGGGCAAGTGAAATTACGAGCAGTGTGATCCAAGGTCAGGATGAGGACACAGATGACCTCATGCTCACATTCATTGTAGAAGAGCCTCCTAGACTCGGTGAGATTCTGGTGAATGGTGCTCCAGCTGAGCGATTCACACAGGCAGATATAATCAATGGAGTTGTGGTTTATGCTCACACCTCTGGAGAAATTGGGCCAATCAAAGAATATGACTCGTTCAATCTTAGTTTGTCTGATATGTCTGATCAGTGGGTTGTTGGTGGTAACAAGGTTCAAGGGGTAACTGTCCATGTCACTATACTTCCAGTAGATAGCAATTCGCCGATCGTGAGTGTAGGAGAACAATTTGTTGTCGTGGAAGGTGAGAAGAATGTCATAACGCTTGAACATATTCAAGCTGAAGATATCGATACTGACAATGATGATATTTTATGCACTATTATTGTTCAGCCATCTTCAGGTTATGTGGAAAACATCTCCCCCGCTTCAGGTTCAGAGAAGTCCAGAGTGGGCACTGCTATCACAGCATTTAGCATCAAAGACATTGCTCTTGGTCATATCTACTATGTGCAAAGCATTCACAAGGGTGTTGAGCCTACGGAAGACCGCTTCACTTTCCGGTGCTCAGATGGCATAAACTTTTCAGAGCGCCACTTCTTCCCCATTGTCATCATGCCAGCCAATGATGAGAAACCTGAAATTTTTGTGCGGGAGTTTTTGGTAATGGAGGGTATGAGCTTAGTTATTGACACACCCATTTTAAACGCTGCTGATGCCGATATACCTGGAGATGAACTGACATTTGAGATAATTAAAAATCCCAAGCATGGTGCCATAGTCCAACAGCTGAGCACTGGAACACTCCCTGTTGTGACTTTTGACTTGGAGCAAATCAAAGAGGCCTCCAACATTGTCTATGAACACGATGATTCTGAAACCAAAGAGGACAGCTTTGTCATCAGTCTGTCAGATGGAAAACATAAGATAGAAACTACTGTTCTCATTATGGTTATCCCAGTGGATGATGAGACTCCAAGGATGGCTATCAATGATGGCCTTGATGTTGAAATTGGAGAAACGAAAGTTATCAATGGCAAAGTTTTGAAGGCCACAGATCTTGATTCAGAAGACAAAGATTTGACTTATGTTGTGCGCTATGGTCCAGGACAAGGATTTCTTCAGCGTATCACCAAGCTGGGCAACGTTGTAGGCAATATTACACTGGGCATGAACTTCACACAGGATGAAGTTGACAAACAGCTCATCCAGTATGTACACGCTGGTCAGGAAGGGATCCGAGACCTCCTCAAATTTGACGTCACAGATGGAATTAATCCCCTTATTGACCGCTACTTTTACATCAACATTGGCAGCATTGACATGGTCTTCCCAGATGTCATTAACAAAGGTGTGACTCTCAAAGAAGGTGGGAAAGTAACTTTAACTACAGACCTTCTAAGCACAACTGACATCAACAGTCCTGACGAATTTCTCACCTTTAGCATAACAAGAGCACCTAGTAGAGGCCATCTGGAATGTACTGACCACCCTGGTGTGCCAATATCCACTTTCACTCAGTTAAAGCTTGCTGGGAACAAAATCTATTACATCCACACTTCTGATGATGAGATGAAAATGGACAGCTTTGAGTTTGAGGTCACAGACGGTTACAATCCAGTCTTCCGCACTTTCAGAGTTTCAATCACTGATGTGGATAATAAGAAGCCAGTTCTGACAATCAATAAACTGTTTGTTGAAGAGGGACAAACTAAGCTGATCACTCCATTTGAACTGACAGCTGAAGATCGTGACACTCCAGACAAACTTTTACGTTTTATTGTTACCCAGGTTCCCGTGCACGGACAGCTTCTTTTTAACAATACCCGCCCAATAATCTCCTTTACCAAACAGGACCTCAATGAAAATCTTATTAGTTACAAGCATGATGGCACAGAAACAAATGAAGACAGCTTCTCTTTCACTGTCACAGATGGAACCCATAATGACTTCTATTTATTTCCTGATACTGTCTATGAGACACGCAAGCCCCAGATGATGACCATTCACATCAATACAGTCGACAATGGTGTGCCGCAAATTTTGGTGAATAAGGCTGCTGCTTCTCTCAAAGTACTCCAAACCGGCCACATTGGTTTCTTAATTACTGGAAAATTCCTTCGATCTGAGGACCGTGACAGCAATCAAAGAGCTCTGAAGTACATAGTTTCAGAAGCACCACAGCATGGTTTCCTCATCAACACAGCCCTGGGAAATGACAGCATCCAGACCTTCACGCAGGGTGAGTACATGACATTTTTGTTGTTTTACTGTTACTGTTGAATTGGTGTCCTTAAGATGAAACTCTAGGGCAAATATTAGCTTTTCGTTGTGTTAACACTGAATTTGCTTGTTTGTCTTGCCAACAGCTGATATCAATGACATGAAGATTTGTTATGTGTTACGAGATACCAGCAATGCTTCAAGTGATATCTTCTACTTCTCAGTACAAGATCAAGGTAGGAACATACGTTTCTAAACTTTCAGTCCCATGTCTCCTCTCACTTGTTTGCATTACAAAGACTTTGGGCAGCTGGCCATGACTGACACTGGTCCACAGAGCATCCCTTTTGGAGTCAAAGGGTCAGAAGTGACTCTGGGTCGGTAGAAGAGGAAGAGATGTGACTATGACATTCTCTAAGCTCTATTGTCAACAGACAAAAGACGCCTTTCCTTAAGGGCACTTCTCAGAGCTTTTAGATGTCCCTTTTCATCATGTGCTTAGAGTGACCCGGATATCTGTAGGGATCAGTGTAACAAAATACTACCTATATTTACTTAACAGGCTAGTTCTAGTAACTTAAAGGTGGGGTACCTATTTTTTTATTTTTTTTAACCCAATAGAAAGAATCTTGTTGACATAAAATGTGGCAAACAAATCTGACCAAGACATCAATTCATAATTTTTTTCAAAATCATCTGTATACCCGTGATATTCTTTCACTTTTCGGATCTAAAGATGTGACCGCAACTGAGAACATGGAACTACTTATATAGATTTAATTACATTGTTCCATTTTTCAGTTGTTCAATCAATCATCTTTTATTTGTAGAGCGCCTTTCCTACACAAGGCAACACAAAGCGCCACACAACCCATATCACATCATGCATAAATCATAATCATCAAACATTAGAACCTACATAAACATTAAAAACACATTAAGAGCACAAGATATATTAAAATCATTCAAAAAAATCACACAATAGTTATAAACCTTAAAACATTTAAATGACACATGGGATTAAAATCAAAAACAGCCATAGTGCATTAAAACGATTAAAGATAAAAATCAAAGATATAATCATTCAGTTGTTGTTGTAATTTATCTTTAAGATAAATAACAACAACTTTATATTACTCCATTATCGCATATGAAGTAACCTGTCATAAATGCATATGTTCCTTTTTAACCTTTTGCTCTGTTGAGTAATGGCATACATGCAGAGATTTATAGTTTAGGTCATCTATCAGTTCTCAAACTAATGTATAAAATGCCAACTAGTATGTGTATTATATACTGAACTGCAAACAGTTCAGACAACACACATAAAGAGTTCAACCATAAGATCAAGTGACCCCTTGAAGGCAAAAGTGGTTTACTAATGGGAAGTGTTTAAGAGGTGATTTAAAGGGGAGATGGTCCTATATCCAGGGCAGGCTTGGACACGCAGGTATGACCTACTGAGGGTCACCTTATCCAGACAAAGATCTAGACTTTAGAGTTGTTAGCAATCTAGGTTTGGTTTTTGAACTCTGCTGTTTCCAAACAAAATTCTATCTCTTTAAAGAGGCTTACACTTCAATGTATTCTTGTACAGACCAAAATCACAAAAAAGTTTTCTCGGTCAGCGTTACATTCATCTCAGTGGCATTTTTTTGGGTGAAGTTAATTCGTTCATAAACCTTTCTTGCTGGTAAGGGTCTCAACTGGTCCTTTCCTATATAGTGACACAGTGTAGTGCTACTGCACGTAATTCTGAATATAGGCCCTTATATGGGTTGCTACAATAATGTAGTTCATATTTATGGAAACCTGTGTGTGTGTGCGTGTGTGAGTGCGTGTGTGTGTGGGGTCAGTATCCAGCTGAGTATTGAAACAGTGTAACATGTGTGTCTCAAGGGGTCAGAAGTGGACATTGAGTTTCACGTCTGCAGTCTCAGTGGAGACCTGTTACTAGTCACACACTAAATTCCTGTCTGTGGAGTCAAAGACATCAGTCAATCAAGTATTTTACCTCCTTTGGTTTTCCCAAAATAATATATTTATACTGTATGTACGTATATAATATTATAATAATATTTATCCTTTTAGGTTTCAGATCTTTTCAGTTTCGGTCTTTGGCAGCCCTTGATTAAATACTGGAGCAATAATGATATAATTAGAATAGTGAATCCAAGCATTTATATTGTTGTCCATCAGAGGATATTGAGCCAAATAAAAAGGCCCAATGACTTGTCACATGTGTCTATACATTTTTCTTTGGTTAAACTAGAATTGTTCCCTTTTAACAAAAAGGCTGTACCTGAGGTCATGAAGGAACACTAAAATGTTGGTTTCCAACAGCACTATTACATGTTAGCAGTTCTGGTGTGCCATCTTTGACGCCGCCGCACTGAGTGTTATGTGATCATTCAGTGTCAGTATAGGAATGTACTTCCTGGGAGACTGCAGGCTCCATGTCCGCAGACAGAGCTGGGCCTGGAAGTGCAGCAGTATCCCGTGCAGACAGGTGTGTACGTGAGGGGAAAGGCTTTAGGAGATCTCCTTTCAAAGTCCACCATCCTCTCACTCCCAGCTCTGCAGAAATCCAACCCAATGTCTGATAGCCTCATAACCCACGGCCTGGCGCTGGCCTGTGGGCTGTGGGGATGGGCTCAACAATAATAAGTCTATAGCTTAAGTGTTGTACTCAAAATGTATTATTCTGCTTTGTTGACATTTCTTTCTGCTTTTCGTTGCTATCGCCCTATAATTGTCCTAGATGTAGCTTTGGTCATAGAGACAAGCACACTTGTCAACAAAGGCTTTGACGCTGCAGGAATCGTTTCAGGAGTTTACTCCTGCTGGTTTTTGAATGATTATTCAGCTTTCAAAGATATTTTCTTTTTTATTTACGTAAAATGATCCTGTTTCTTTTCATCCCAGTTTGTCCCACCTGCTGAACTAGCCATGTTACATCCCAACTTCCTAACAGTGTTTTGGGATCTAACATGTCATACATGTCATCAGTTTGGGTAGATTTACTGTCTACAGGAGTCGCAGTGAGGGCCCCCTGCTACTGTTGGTAGATCATACTTCTTCGCACCCCTCCTTCTTTTCTTCAAACTCACACATGCTCTCACTATCCTTGCTGCATCTTCCCATGTATACACCACCAGGGTTGTTTCAGAGTTCACCTTTTCGCACCTAACCCCATTTTTCCCTGTTGTATTTCTTGCACTTTTGGTTCTCAGATGACCCTTTTTCTGTTTCTGGCCTAATTCTATAGCTTTGATTTATGTGAGTCGAAGGCGCATGGGGCGGGGGCTTTATGATGTATGAGTTTGAGTGGTTATTATTATCTGGTCTCAAATAGCAGAGCTGTCGTCTGCTCTTTGCGTATATGTCATAGAATGACTGTAGTGATACTGATTTTTGTTCTTTTCATGTTGCCTTTCATGTTGCTTTTCTTCAGTGATATTTGTGACTATTTGTGTCAAGCTACAGTTGCTTGTTAATAAAGTCTAAAATAAATATAGCAGCCATTGGTAAAGAGTTTAATTAATATGAATCAGTTCTATTAACAAGTAATGTTGTGGGTAAACCAGATTGTCTATGGCTTATTTTCAAAGGGGTTGGATGAGGCAAAAGCTTATACAATTCCAAACCCCCCATTCAAGCAGCAGTTTGGTACACACAAAACACAGACCAAACACTCACCAACCCTACACCTCTCTCCCACTGTGTCTAGTTGTGAAAGACAGGGCTACTACCATAAAACATCTTCTAGTTCAGGCCCAACCCTGGAGAGAAAAGTTTTATTGTGGCACTTATCTTTTCACATATTCCCAGTAGACTTTGTAAGGTGTTGGAACTTATCCCAGCAACTATTGGCCTTAGGCTGGGTCAGTTGAAGGACACAGCCATCCACTTTCAAATGAATTTACTACTAGACATTCCCAAGACACATTTTCCAGTACATGTATAACAGTATATGGTATTATAAGCGGTTAAATTAGGATAAATTAATTGCTGAACGGTATATACGACAGTTCTATGCTGGAACGTAGTTGTTTGAGTGTTTGTCATCATGCGGTATAAGACGGCGGCGGTGACAATCCGATGAAGATTTACTACATCCTGTGCAGAAGTAGCCTGATGTGTCCATTTACAAGCTGCCTTCCACAAGGAATGATAAGTTATAAATACTCACATATCATTCAGCATTCCTTACACGCATTTTTGGAGCGCACAAAAACAAATGTGAGAAACCTTTTGCATATCTCACATCCGACAAGTGACACCGGTCTAGATTAATAGCTGATATAAATATAATTCTAGGATATGAAATAGCACACATTGGTGAGAGGCAGCTCTATGTATTTATACACGTCGAAGATTGATAGGGGAAATGCAATAATGGTTACGCGTGTTATTTGATTAGGATAATCTTAGAAAGTTGCTCCTTCTTGCATCATGCTGTAAAACGTCAAAGCCTCGGCCTGACGCGCACGGGTCTATGTATGGTGAGGTCTATGAATGGTGAGGCGTGATCATGGTGGGCGGGGGAAATCCGGACCGATCTTGTGGCGTTTGTTTATATTTGTAGCCCTAGATGTCACGATCAGAAGCACGAGTGAAATTTGCCAAAGATAATAGAAGTTTGGTATTAGAATAAAGCAAACCATCTTAAAGGAATAGTTCACCGTTTGTACATACTGACATATGTTCTTACCTTACCTTAGACTAGTTAATACGTACCTGTCTGGTCTTAGTCCGTGCGCTCTGTCATGCAAACGGAGCAAAAACGGGAGCACAAATGCAGCCTCCTCTGTATATTTTGTAGCACCAAAAGGTAGCTCCCGCTAGAAGCTACCAAACTCTTCCAAGTGTTCCCTATTAAATGTATATAGTTACGTGACGTGTTACACTGCAAAGTATAGTAACACAGAAATGTAACAGTCGATTTTCTCAGCGGATAAAACGGGTACTATATTGTGAGGCGTAGTAATCTGAGGTGCGCTACGTCCGCGCACTAACTTCTCTCCGGATACTTCTCTCTCGCTCACTTCCGTCAATAGAAGCAGCGTGACTTGTAATACACACAGTAGCAGCGAGAGAGAAGTCTCTGGAGAGAAGTTAGTGCGCGGACGTAGCGCTCCTAACTTCTCAATAAGCTTTGAATTCATTTTTTTATTAGACATCACTATGGATATCAAATACATTACATTTCTATGCATATTTTTGTGACACTTCTGAAAAAATTGACTCCCCGAAAGATTGCATGAACAAAAATATTGCATGCATGAACAAAAATGATATGATGGCTGGAACAGAGGAAGTTTAGTTTTCACTTATTAGTAAAACATTGAATAAAATGCAAGACAGAACCACATGCATCCATTCACATCCACACACAGAGATCTCGTTGGCATAGTTACACAGGCTAGTATTTAGTATTTATTATTATGAATAATAAAAGATGAAAAAAATGAGATGAGTGGGCGACAGTGGCTCAGTTGGTAGAGCATTGGCCTTTGAGCGTGAAGGTCGTGGGTTCAAGCCCACAATAAGACCTACTTCACGATTCCCACTGATGTTTGCTGTTGTTGTGTCCTTGAGCAAGACACTTAACCCCATTAATAAAACATATTAATAACATTAATAAAATGTCACATTTATTAATGCTTTATATTTTATTGGTTTATGAATTACTATTTTAGATTATTTATTTTGCTATCCATTGTACAAGCAAAAAAGGTCAGGTTACAGGCGAAAAACTGTTTTCAGTTTTTGAATGACAACATTGAAACTGATTAATGACACACACACACAGACAGATCATCTGAATGATCTGAACCACTACATTGGCACCTTCTATTGCTACAGTAACTGCACCCCAACTTGGACAAAATATAAAAGTTAAATTGTTTTCATTTAACACTAAGTGGCGTAAGTTTGTTTTTGTTTTATGTAAACTTTTAGAAGCGGTCATTATGGGCTTTTTAGCTTTGAGATAAGTCCTGATTACAGCAAGCAGCACATAATGACACAGAATAAGTCAAAAAGGACTTGAAAAATTTAACATTATTCTTGATTGGTCGTTCTTAATACAAGAAGCCCCCCTCATTACAAGTGAGAAATTAAATCACTTTACCGGAATACATGAAATATATAACTTGAAAGTTGATGCTCCATTGTTCCATTGGTAAAACAGTTTTTAAAATAAGTAACGTGTCCATATCAAAACTACTTGAGGCTGGGGTACATAACTTCCCCGAAAAAAACAAAGATGTCCTTCTGACTACTTCCTTGCTCACTGCATTTGTCACTGCCTCTGACACTTTGCATACACTTTTTTCAGACAGAAACATGGAAAACAGAGGACCACCCTCACTCAGCCTCAGTCAGCTCTCAGTCCAAAGTGTCAAACAGTGACTCACAGGGCTCTTTTTTCTAATTAGATAACATGTCTCATTCGTTCACCAAAAAAGTTGGGCACCTTCCATTTAAGACTGTATCAACTATATTTTGAGATGTTTCATTGCAGCAAATAAAACATTCCTACTATACTATACCCTGTCACTATAGCATGAAATTGACGGATTAGCTGACCTTTAAACAGGATGATTGCCACTTCAGTGCGCTAATGGTAATGCGAGCAGACCCAAGCTTCTACTGTATGTATTAAGTTTGATAGGCAGACGAATATAGCATGTCCCCTCAAACCACTGTGAAGTGCGCCATGAATCACGTCACGGCTGCCATTTTGATTTCTATATTAGTGTCTATATTGAGCCCTTGTTGTTGTGGGCCTCTTATGAGAAGACCAGCGTCGTGATTGCATCTCCATATGTTGAGACAAATAGAAGTTTTAGTCTTTGGTAGCTGGCAAGTTTTAAAAGGGAGAATGTAGAAAGGGTATGGCCCACCCAGACAGGGCTGCTGTCAGTTTTTTGGCCCCTCGCTAGACAAAGATGGGGCTGGGGTTGGGGGTCTTCAGGGCGGGTGTGAGAGGTACAGCTGTCACTCTGCTCCTCATGGGAGTTTGGCGGGAAAGCAGTTTAGAAGGTTGATGAGCAGCAATGCATAAAGCGAGGCTGTTTATGCAGTCAGCATGCATGTATAGACACTTGCTCAATGGTTGCACTTTCTGTGTTATATTATTTGGTTTAAGCAGGGAAAAAATCATAATCTCACCACTAGAATCAAACGACTACATTTCATAATCAAGCCGGGTTCTGTCTTTAGAACTTTACTTGCTTAATTGTATCAATATGACTTTTTGAGCTTTTAACCGCTGGTTCAAAACTGTAACTTGTAACTGTACGTGAGGCTGCCAGCACTGGTCAGATTCCCGGGCTTCGGAGGAGCAGACTGACAAACGATCGTATCAAGCCTATTGTTCTCATTTACTGCTGTGGTCTGGGCTCTGTTTAATGTGTGACATAAACGTTTTCTAACAACGCTGCAACATTCAGGCCATGCGAAACAGACGTGATACATGCATCTTATATTTTTAGCCATGACTGTTGGAAACTTGAGTGTGGAGCATGGGAGAGTGTGTGGGTGCTGCTCTAATTAACTGAGGATGTTTTCAATAACTGCATTTTTTTATTTATTTTTTGTCTGTTTTCCTTTTCAATTTGTTTTCCATTTAATTTACCATGATTAAAGGGTACTGTGTTATTATTATAAGGTTACGGGCATTTTCATACAAACATTTTAGGTGAAAACCATAGAAGCCTTTTTGACAGTGAACAAAGTATTTTAGGCTTTTGAGTTATGACATGAACATATTTAACAAAACACTAAGCATATGGAACAAACTAGGCTAATTTTCTGGGTTTAACCTGTGTACTGGTATAGTCTTCATTGAAAAGAAAACCATGGGGGGATTTTCTAAAAAGTTCTACTACCTTAAAAAAATAATAATCTTGGTACAGGTGACCAAGTGCCCTCATAGCGTTGATCATGTTGTTCAGCAGAGGCAGTGAGGGCGAGCGCTCATGCAAGACTAAAGTGCCACAGGACTATCTCACCTCCCTGATCCAAAAGCCCATTCTTCATGACCCATTTTCACAGCCACGGTCACAGGTTCTCCAGAGCCTTCCGCTTTGAGAGGACAAGGCTCAGGGATGTTTGCCGCCAAACTGCTTAAGTGTCTCCCAAGTGCTCAATGTCGGGGCAGTGACCAGAACTGAGCCTTGTGAGGGATTACACTGGTCATGAGATAGTATGGATTTAGATTTATGGTTGTGGATCAGTGGCAGGTCACTGTAGAGCGGTGTTTTTAACCATGTGTGCCTTGAATTGTGCCTTGGGAAATGGTCCAATATCACCTCATTGGTCAAAATAATGTCAAAAGAAAAATAAAGTGAGAAGAATAGTAAGACTTTTTTTGTGCTTCGTTGATTCTAAATAATACAGTTTAATGAGAAGGACTTTGCGCTGTTCATAAAGGCTGGAGATTTTCAAGTTTGCATCAGTTTTAGCGGGTGGTGTGCCATGTGATTGTTTTATCTTCCCTTTAGGTGGAAACAAATTGAGACCTCAGCCTTTCCGCCTGAACTGGGCATGGATCTCGCTGGAGAAGGAATTTTACTTAGTGGATGAAGATGCTAAATTTCTGGAGGTGACACTGAGACGCAGAGGCTATCTTGGGGAGACATCGTTTGTCAGTAAGTCTCACATGATTCTTTTCCCTCGTTTGTAATGTGTTCCCTGCCCTTTTCCAAATCCCCACACAAATCCATGCATGTGAAAGATGACTATAGTAAACATTTTACCCCTATTAGCTCGCCTCAATGTACAAGATTTACTGCTTTTTAACCACCTTCTGACGCGGAAATCTCTGATTACTGTGGCATTCAAATGGCCAAGCATCTAATAAAACATCAACGATGGCATTATTGGCAACATTGGCAACTGATTCCTGTAATGCTACCAGTGTTTATGGGTGCAATCCCAGCCAGAGAATCCTAAAGAGTGCGAATGCTTTGTTTGCTCTTCCTTTGGCCGCCTCACTGTACTGAGACTATACTAAACGTATGCATGACCTTCTGTTGTAAAGGCCACCGAGAAATGTCAACATTTTGCCATTTTGCTTAGTTCTTATTAGGCTAAAGTTAGAGATTTTATAGTTGCTTCTTTATTATGCAAAGTTAGAGATTTTAATGTTTTTTTATTTTAGTGTAGAGTTGTTGTTCATTTCTCTTGTGGGATGGAACACTGAAATGTCCCTGTAGGACGGACAAAGGATCTCTTAATTCAGGCCCCATGAAGCTTTTAGAGACTTTTGCATAGGAATGGACATTAAATTGGAGGAAATATTTAGGCACTTGTTTTTGTGCCATGTAGTTAGGGAAAACGTTTTTCACACCACAGTTTTTGTAGTAAGAAAGACGGATCTATTGGTTGCGTTCACATTTTTTAAAGAAATGTTTTAAACTTGCCAATGTCCAAAAAAATTTCCCAGATTATTTGATAGTAATTAGATTTAAAAACCTGGCACATTAATATTGGGGATAGCAGATTACTTTGAAAATACTCACAAATGCTGTCAGTTGTAAACTAAATACTTTTTGCTTCAAGCTAACATCTCACAGCTCAAGTAGATGACTGTTCCTAAAGTGAACTATAGACCTATAGAGAGACTTATCACCTCAAAGACTTGTTTATTTTGAGACAATAAACAAGAGATTTGGTTAACATAAAAATACTTTTTTTTCCCACAGGCATCGCAACCGTGGATGGCACTGCAGTTAAAGACAAGGACTTCAGGGGAAAATCTCAGAAACAGGTTCAGTTCAACCCTGGTCAGACCACAGCCACATGGAGGGTGAAGATCTTTAAAGACCAGGAATTTGAAACATCTGAAACTTTCAAGATCCAACTCTCGGACCCTGTCATGGCCGTGCTGGAATACCCAGATGTGGCCGCTGTGGAGATTGTGGACCCAGGCGATGGTGAGAATACTATATATTTATAGCTCTGTGACAGTTTTCTTGGCTTGTTGCTATCCACTCAGCCACAACAAGGTGGCTGTTCCGACCGGGGTTCGAACCCATCCCGGTCGGAACAGGGCCTTTCAGAGTGGAGTTTGCATGTTCTCCCCGTGTCTGCGTTTGTGTCCTCCGAGTACGCCGGAGGAAAAAAAATGTACAATAAGTCTGGCATGCGCCTCCTGTACTGACGACCTCACTCCCATCTCTGTGTGGTGTGAGATGCCCAAAAATAACAATTGTAAACTGCTTTGTGACTCTGGTCTGAGAAAGGCGGTATATAAATAAAGATTACTTACTTACTTACTTACTAATCCGTGTGTTGTTTTCCCATAATAGAGTCAACCGTATTCATCCCCCAAGCGGAGTACAAAGTGGAAGAGGACGTAGGAGAACTGTTGATCCCTGTGCAGCGTAGTGGCGATGCTAACCAAGAGCTCATGGTGGTTTGCCACACACAACAAGGTATTAGAGTTAAGATGAACTTTTAGAATCCTCCAGAGAGAAGGAGATTTAATTTAATTGAAAGTTGTGAAAAATAATAATTAACGCATTATCTAGGCTTCCACTGGATTGCATACACTGCTTCTCATTATTAAAGGTCAAAAGAGACAAACAAAATAATGAAGTAAATAGATTGGTAGAGCTTTTACTCTATGTTTACTCTATGTTGAAAGAGGCGTGATCCCTCCTCAACCTGATAAACAATGTTCCCTTTGCCCTGGGAATTTTGAGAAAAATAGTGTCATAAGGGCGTATGCTAAATATACTGGACATGTTAATTCAGCAACACCAAAAAGCAAAGCCCTTATGATCCCATCATATTAAAATGTACAATATTTGTCGTCAGGCACAGCCACAGGCACCATCCCCAGCACAGTCCTGTCCTATTCGGACTACATCACCCGGCCTGAAGACCACAACGGTGTACTGCGCTTCGACAAAGACGAGAGGGAGAAATTCTGCCGCATCATAATCATTGATGATTCTCTGTACGAGGAGGATGAGAGCTTCAACGTCAGCCTCAGCATGCCCATGGGGGGGCAAGTGGGGGCCAAGTTCCCAAGCACCAAAGTTACCATCCTGGCAGACAGCGATGATGGTGAGTTCCATGGGAGTGTCTTACTTTTCCTTACTTTTTTACTTTTTCATTTATAATGGTTTCATTGGATATTGTATAGACTGCACTTTTGTTGCACTGTTTTACAAAAGTTAGTATTTGTATTACAAAGGAGGGTTGGGGTCTTCCTTCTGGGTTCTATGTGGAACACTTCCACATAGAGAGGCGCCCGAGCAACTGTCTGCTCTCAATGTGGAGAAGCAGTGGCTCTACTCAGTGCACTCTTAGGAAGCCACTCTGCGGAGGCATCTCATGTTATCCAAAGCTCGTGAGAGTGGGACTATAGATTTGGCTTTCGACTCTTTCCCACAACAATTCAATGCAGATAAGAATAATGCATGAATCAGGGACGTGCGGTGAGGTTTGTGATTGGGGAGGCACTGACTTTAAAAGTCAGATTTACAATCATTATTCAAATAAATTAGCATTTAATCACCAATGCAATGACATCCACAAACTTTATATACTGTAAAGATAAGAGAACCAGCTTCTTTTAATAATCTCACAACAAATCTAGCTGCTGACTCTGCTCCGCATCAAACAACATCTTTAAGAAGCGCAGGTGCGAGAGACGCGAGGAGAGAGAGACGCGAGGAGAGAGGAGCAGAGAGAGACAGAGAGGAGCAGAGAGACGGAGACGCGAGGAGAGAGAGACGCGAGGAGAGAGAGACGCGAGGAACATAAACAATAATTTAAACAAGTTGCAGAACTCTTGAGCAGTGTTTGAATCAGTGTTTTTCGGAAAAGCACTACTTTGCCGGTATCTGTCAATGTTCAACATAAAACACAGATTAACAAACTCCTCCCCCGCAGCCGGACTAACCTCGTAAGTCCAGTGGTGGTCTCCCAGTCTATATTAATTCTTTCTTTGTTTGAAAGTCCAATTGAGAAAAAAAATCTTCATTCAAATCATCCATTTTCCAGCAAAAGAAATAGCATTTTGGGCTGATTGTTTGTTAGCAACTCTGGTATGAACTTTATGCTCACTATCACCCCTAGCGGTGAGGCACAGATACCGCCTGCCTCACGCCAAGCTTTTTCCTTGTGTGTTCATCTACGATCAAAAGACTTAAACTAAATATAAATTGTACACACATACGTGCAATACACTACTAAACACTAAGAGGAGTTTAAAAAATGTTTTTAAAGCAGGATATTTGAAACAAACGGTGATATATCAACTGCACGAGCTGAGTGCACTCAGACACACACACACACACTGTGAGGGAGCGGTCTGGGGTGAGGCACGCAGGAGCGCTGCCTCACCTCGTCTCTTTGAATAGGAATAACGGGATTTCGGCGATTTTGACTTCAGAAATGATCAAAACTGATGGGAACCGTGCCGAATATACATTAAAAGCATAGGACAGTGGATATAAATTATATATTTAAACTAAAATAATTATTAGTTTCCAATAATGGCAGGTGAGGCTCTGCCTCCCCTGCCTCCCCTGACTGCACGTCCCTGGCATGAATATAGTATAGTGTTTTTTTCTGGACATTCAAAGATGCTGAAGATGGCATTATTCTTTCCATACACAGTGGTGATAAACTATTACCGGATCCACAGCTGCCCTGGAGCAGACTGACGGAAGCGAGGCGACCAGTGTTTGCGACCACCACCAGACCCCTTATAGTTGCAGCTGTCCCACTTTTGCATCTGGTGTTCACAGAGGTCTCCCATCACAGTACCAACCAGGCCCTGTCCTGCTTAGCTTTTAAGGTCTGACAGGATCAGGCTTTCAATTAATTTCATCAATTCTTATCAATTCATCTATACATTCGTTTTAAACAAAGCAAGCTTCTGGGAGTGATAGAAGTTCAAGAGAGATGAGGCGCTCACCAGGATCAGCAGTGAAACTGGTAACACTCTTGACAGTGAATAAAAATCCTTTGATGTACAGGGACTTCTGGGATAAATTATGTGTTCTACAAACAGGATGACTTTTAAAGCAATAACTTTCTGGTGATACATTATACGATCATTACCAAGATTCCATGGGATTATAAAGTTAAAACTATAGGACAAACGAGCTCAGAGAATATTCCTGGACAAGACCAGGTGAAGTTTGTAGAAACTAAAATCATTCAAATGGTGGATGCCAGTGACTCTAACCCCAACAATATACTTTCACCAGACACAGATAAAACCAAACGCTAATTTTTCATGTCTATTTCAGAGAGCGACAGACTGTATCCATTCAGTCGCCACATCTAAAGCTCCAGAGGCATTACAAGCGTATTAGCGCCTCTATGTACTGTTTACATCATATGAGAGCTAGTTCTGCCACCCCGCTCTGTCTGTCAGAGATAACAATAGACAGGTGTTGTGGGAATGCTACAGCGCCTGTGGATGTTGTGCTAAAGCGGCCACTGTTTGACACTTGAAAGCATTTTAAACATGGACGTGTGGCCCCCAGTGCTCATTGGAATTCAGTGGAGCTCAGGGGAAGCAGGGGGTGCAAAAGGCAGGTGCTGGAAAGGGTCAAACTATTGTGATGAATTACAAATGACTGGCATGTTTTGGTTCTGCTTCACAGGCTAATGCTACACAAGTTATGCTGCTTTGTGTGTGTGTTTTTTTTTACTTGAAGTGTCTACAAGACTGTGAGGTGAAATGTTGATCACTATGGGATGTGAAATTCTTCCCGTCGAAAATTGACGAATAATATAAAGACAATATAAACTAATAATGTAATTGGAGGTATGGCATTTTGAATTTAATCTATTAGTCTATTTCATATAATAATTTCACATTTTAGGTTGAATTACAGGAATAAATTAACATTTGGATGACAAAAGTCTGAGTTTCACCTGTATTTTTCATGTCAAAAAGACCATATCAAATATGGCCATACTCAATTATGGTCATAGCCTATTCTTATTCTGTCAATATGCATTACTTTTTCACCAAAATTGAAGGTCATTCTTATATGACACCCTGGTAAAGTCTGTCTTCACAGCGGTGTCTGGAATGCAATAGATTTACATGACAAGAGATTTATTTTCTATTAAGCCATGTTTTGGTCTGTTGGGACAAACAAAATGCATTAGCTATGAGACAAAGAAAAACATTTAGGCACTCCAGCTTTAATGCACAATTCACCTGTTTTATATCTCTACATAGGAAACATAGTTTGCCATGTTTCACTATGTTGAAAAATGAGACAAAAGGCAGCAGCACCTGTAACCTGTTTGATTTTTGTGTTCTTCCAGATAGAACAGAAGAAGAACTCTTTATATGAAGCTTATCAATGTGCATAAAAACAGAGACGTCAGCCGTGAGATATTATGGATGCCGACGCTAAAGATATTGATACTAGTAGCATTGTGGGTCATAACAAATACATTCAGTTTTTGAGATAATAATGTTTAGCAGTAATACAGGTATAACAGAGGTCTAAAGTCCAAAACATGCAGGTTAAAGCAGCAAGCAGCCAACTTGCAGTGGCTGAAATGGCATATTCTTGGAAGGCTCTCTAACTCTCTGCTGTGGGCTCTTTAGCACAATAAGATGGCTTGTAAAGGGATGTGAACTCCAACATGGGAACCATCGAGATCAGTGGGAGGAAGAGTTGGACAAATAGAGTAACAATAGGGGCTTGATCTTGGCTAAAGTCCAAGCCACAGGTTTAGTCAAGCATACTGTGGATTTACAGCGGCTGTATAACGCTGGGACCCACCAAGAAGCCAACGGCACAATGGAACTTTATACCAGGGGCTTCTGTTGTCTCTTCACTTGTCTGGGAATGCTTATTATTTACATGTAAACATCTATTGCACTCCAGACACAGCAGTCAAGACATTAGACAAAGGCATTTCCAGGGTGTCACAGAAGAAGGAGGTAAAATGTGTTTGGAATTGCGGGAAGTAATGCATATAGACGGAATAAGCATAGAATATGAAAATAATTGAATATGGTCATGTTTAATATGTTCTTTTTGACATGCAAACTACAAGTGAAACTCTAGTCAACATTGTGGAAATAAACAATATTCTAATTTTCTGAGTTTCACCCGTGACGCTTTGGGTTGAGAACTGATTTTCTGAATGAGGGTGGTCATCTCTTTTAGGTCTGAAAAAGCTGATCTAAAGATGAGACATAGGACAAAAACACAAGTATACAGTATATACCGGTATTTATTTTTACATTGTTCAATTTCTGTAGTTTTGAAAGCTTTAAATAAAAACAAAAGCTTTAAATTATTACAAAAGGGATTTGTTTGTCCATGATTAGAGTTGAAAAGACTGAATTAATTATTCTATTTTAGTTAGATGTTATAATTAAAGTCTTATGGAAACAATCCTATTACTTGTTACTAAAACGAAATATCCTAAGTTGATTCTCCATTTTGTGTTATTTCTTCCTTAGAGTTGTCAATACAAAAAACTAAAACAATTTGTAGAATCTATCAGAAGAGCAAATGAACATTGTTGGACTAACCGTATACAAAAACTTATGCATTTATAAGAAAAAAGGTAACATCTAATTTCTATCTAAATTCCTTGGCTCTTTCTTCTTTTTCTTTTCTATTGCCAAAAAAACCTGGAGCCTTACATCTTTTCATCTCAAGTAGGGCTGGCTGGGGCAGGGTGTGATGAAAACAAGCTTTATGCACAAGCGAAGAGAGATTAATTGGCGCGTTGAGGTCTTGAATTCTTGCCCCCCTGTTTTTGCTAATTGGAGGCTTGTCTCCTCCATCTCCCCCTGCGTGCTGCTTATCAGCGCCTCCATCATCGCACAGTCGGCACATCCTTTTGGCCCACGCTGCACCTTTGAGTCTCCGCACACAAAACACAGTGTTCTTCAGGTGCAGGGCTGTCTGTCTTTAGATGCTAAGGAGGGAGAGGTCAAAGCAGGACAGGGCCAGAGGGCGTGACCATGCTCTTCCTGTGTGCTGATGTACAAAGGACCAATGAAATGAAGGAGCTTTTGTCTGGAGCAGGTCTAAATAAACTATAATGAATCGTGGGGGTTGCTATGGGAGCCTTCTGTTGGTTTCCAATTACCTACGCTGAAAAGAAATTATTTTTAAAATGATATATCTTTTTGTTGGTTGTAAACACAATTTGCCAAGATTTAGGACCAAATTCAAGATAAATGTAATTTAATTCTAGTTATTTTCAGTCATTATTTGCAATGTAGGTCAACAATACACCTACACTTTTCAAGTTGGACACATAAATCGATGAGTTACTACATTTACTCCCTTATATTTTATCATTTTTTCAGCCAAACAATGTATAAGTAACAAGGGTGTCCTCTTTGTAGTGTTAAAGTGTAAAAAATAGAATTTTGAAACATTTGGAACAGTTACTTTAAAGAATGTATTTGCGTTTAAAGAAACTCCTATCAGCCACTGATGTCAAAACTGCACCACATACAAGACTATAAATGCTATAGACTCTTATACTAAGTACTGTGTCTCTGAAGATCAATTCTTAAAAATAAATACATCAAATAAGAAAACAGTGTCTTATATATATCATAATTATGTACGGATACAAAGATAAGATCACCTTTATTGATCTCACAATGGAGAAATGCTAACTATTTTCTTCTTTTTATTCCAGAGCCGGCATTATATTTCGGAGAGCCTAAGTATGTGGTGGATGAGAGTTCAGGTTATGTGGAGGTGAAGGTTTGGAGAACAGGCACCGATCTGTCCAAGACGGCAACGGTCACGGTCCGCTCCAAGAAGACTGAGCCTGTGTCTGCCGAAGGTAAAAAAATCTCACTCAAACTCTTGCATTTTTATCATTCTTGTTTCTAAACTTGCGTATTTGGTTTGCAGCTGGTCTGGACTACGTCGGCATTAGTCGCAATCTGGACTTTGCTCCCGGAGTGACGATGCAGACCTTCAGGGTGACCATCCTGGATGACCTGGGCCAGCCGGAGCTGGAGGGGCCAGAGACATTTGACCTGGTCCTGTACATGCCCATGAATGCAGTGTTAGGAGAGCCCAGCAAAACCTCAGTCACCATCAACGACAGTGTGACTGACTGTAAGCCATTCTTTACTCTCCAGAATCAGTCTCCTAACAGTGTATGTACATCCTGTGGATTTTAAAGGGTCAAATGCATCTCAAGGAATTTGCAATGTAAGACCCTGTTTTATATAGAATTCAATATTAATTTTCTCCTTGTCTGTTTTATTATTTATAATGAGTTAATTGGCATCAAGATCCACCAGGACCTCTTAAATTGTCCTAATTGGTAACTAAGGCAACAGCATTAGCATTAGCACCCCTTGTTTATATGCAGAATCCAATCCATCTTATATGCTTTTCAAACAAAACAACCAAAAAAATAGCCCTTTCGGTTGATCATTAATCATTTTTTTAAGTCAGCATTCTATTTCTTGACCTGTACAATCACACTATACCACAACATAAAGAGCAGCTTCTCTTGTCAAATGTTTGCAATCTTGGCAGTAAGAATGGGTTGTGGACTTACACTAATCACCAATGTATGAAAATATTAGCAAATATTGATAACTTTCTTTATAATTACTTTATACATACTTCTATGTTTGTACTCGATGTAGTCAATGTTCGTCTTTTGCCACAAAACTGTCCAACCTGCTATTCTCGTCTCAGTACCAAAGGTGCAGTTCAAAGAAGGCAGCTACCAGGTGGATGAGTCTGACGGAGAGGTGCGCGCGATGGTTTACCGCAGCGGCGACACCAGCCTAAGGTCCACGGTGCGATGTTACACGCGACAGGGCTCGGCTCAGGTCATGATGGATTACACCGAGAGGCCCAACACAGAGGCTTCTATCATCACCTTTCTGCCTGGTGAGAGGAACCTGCCGACACGCCTACACCGGTTATTTTTTTTGGGAGGGGTTTACCTTTATTTAACCAGGACAGTCCCGTTGAGATTAAGAACCTCTTTTTCAAGGGAGTCCTGGACAAGATGCAGCAAAAGGAACTCAAAATTACATAATACACCAACTCACTCACACACTTCAAATCCACCCTCAAAACTCATCTGTTTAGCCAAACCTATTCACGATCACCATAAATGTGCACTTTATTGTCCCCGTAGGGAAATTTGTCCTCTGCATTTGACCCATCCTGATGCCACTAAGGCTTACGTCAGGAGCCCATCTCCAGATGTTGATGCTCGGCTTGGTCAGGACTACCGGAGCTGGGGCATTTTCACCTAGTGAGCATATTTTTAGTGGTAGGGGAAACCGGAGCACCTGGAGGAAACCTACGCAGACACTGGGAGAAAATGCACACTCCACTCAGGAAGGCCCTGTTCCGACCGGGATTCGAACCCAGGACCTTCTTGCTATCCACTCAGCCACCGTGCCACCCTACACAACTACATAACTACACAATCCTCTGTTCATGCTGCTTTTGAAAGTTTTTTAACCTGTATTTTAACTAAATAATACTTTTTACTTGTAATGTAGGGCGTCTTAGAGTGTTAAGAAAGGCGCCTAAGAATCAAGAAATATTTTTTTTGATAATTATTAAATGACAGACTATAAAAAAATAGTTAGATGTCAATGAGGAAGTGCTCTTAATCTGGACTTGAAAGCATTCAATGAAATAATTGATTTCCAGTCTTTTTGCTACACATTCCACCTGTGAGGGAAGCCTTTTCTCTTTCATACATAAATGTGTATGTTTATAGGGGAGAGCGAGAAGCCGTGTGTGGTGAAGTTGGAGGACGATTCGGTTCACGAGGACGATGAGGATTTTCGGCTGGTGTTGGGATCGGCCAAAAGCACGTCTCAGTATGGAGCGTCACTGGGAGAGCAGAGGGAGACGCTGATCTCTGTCACAGATGAAAAAGACAGTAAGAGTCATACTATGTCCTAATTAGAGTTCAGAGCATAGATCATTTCGAGTTGGATATCAATCTAGCTTTAGTTTGGTTAGTGATATTCTTTTTTTCACGTGTACATTAACTGCTTAGCTATAAAGCAATTTCAAATACCAAAATATAGTTGCTGATAGTCAAAATGTTTGTGGCATTATTCAAAGTTTAAATATAAAAAAAAATCATTAATGATAAATGTTGTCTACTAAAAGTAAAGTGAAGTGAACAAATCCAATAGTACATTTTGAAAAGTGACTAAAGGTAGCTTTTTTGCTAATTTAAATGTTGTGTTTCTTTCAGAGCCAGTCATTCGCTTCTCTGAAATCAAATTCAGTGTGCGTGAACCTCAAGTGAAAGGAAGCATCGCCGTCGTCAATATTCCCATCCTGCGGCTCGGAGACACCTCCAAGGTCTCTGTGGTCCGGGTGCACACGAAAGATGGCTCTGCTACATCTGGAGAAGACTACAACCCACTGTCAGAGGGTAAAAATGACTCCATTACACAACAACACGGGTGTCAAACTGTTTCCAGAAAGGGCCGCTGTGGCCCAACCTGAAGTTCCAACCTGAGCAAGAGCTCACCAAACTCCACCCATGACCCCTCATCTGAGGTGGAGTCTGCTGTGCTCTTGGTTGGAACTAAGACCTGCAGCCACACCGGCCCTTTGAGGACCGGTTGACACCTGTCGACATGTTATTTGGTGCTCTGCCTTCCTTACTTGAAGTATATAAGGTTTAAAGGTAAAACACAAGGTAGAGATTAAACAAAGATAAAAAAGACATGTATGATACTTCTGCTCCACCAAAGCTCAGAACAAATGACTTTAGTCTAGCAATATAGATTCACCAATCGAAAAGTCGGTGGTTGGACCAAGGTCAGGGTTAGCCTGTTGTTTAGCCTCCGATATCTGCAGTGCACATACACAGGTGCATGACTATGAGATTTTTGTTCAGCATATTTCAAGAAAATATATGGAGGTAACAATAGCGCAAGTGTCATCCTTTTGTTTCATATTTCTAACCTAATTGTTTTGGTTTGCCAGATGTGGAGTTCAAAGAGGGCGAGAAGGAGCACTTTGTAGAGATTGAGATCCTGTACGACGGAGAGCGGGAGATGAGAGAAGCCTTCACCGTGCACATGAAGCCAGATGACAACATGGTGGCTGAAGTGCAGGTGGGGCAATGTCACCAAGCAACACATAAAAACAGTGGCCTATATCTGAAGAGCAGGGCATTTTGGCACACGTGAGCACGCGCCCGCCGTGTCATGGCACTAGCGCCTGTTGAAATAGCCGGGTAACAGCTGGTATCTGCGGTCTTATAAAAGGTCTTTCTCCCTGGAATGAGACGCCGCTCAGAAACAAACAGTAGATGGAGCTATAAACAGGCTCATGGCATTCTCCGCATTTAGCCTACATTAGCTGCCAAGTACTCGTGTGACAGAAATATAACTCTGTGCGCCAGAATAGAAATTAAGGTGGAATTCTTTATTTGGATAAAGTTCATTTTTGGCCTCTCACTGTTTCGATTGGCGCTTTACTACACAAACGTTTTGCTCTAAAACGACCTCAAAATGTTGCAAAATTCAAATGGTCCTAGTTCCTCCCAGAATTTTTTATTTGACTCTAAATAAGAGAGAAACATCTTTACAAAGTATTGTAATTTGAAACTTTGTAAGGCAACCTCGACTGCCCAGAAAGGTGCCCTATAAATAGAATGTATTATTATCATAAAAATGGATAGTTTTGAGGGCGGATCGGGAATGTGGGAGAGTGTCAGGGGGAAGAGTGAGGCAGGCAGGGGGAGGTGGGAGGAAGAACAGAGGGAGCGACCAGGTGTGCTTAGCTTAGAAAGATACGGAGGAGCGAGGTTGTCAGGGAGACCATACAGAAAGGAATTGCAATAATCTAGACAGGAAATGACCATGAGTAATAGTTAAAACTGTATTCCAATGGGGTTTTACTGCAAATGGCAAATAAAAGGAATCTGAATCTTTTAAGATTAATTTGATGTTGTTTTTTCTAGATGAACAAAGCCATAGTTTACATAGAGGAGATGGACAGTGTGGCGGATGTTACGTTCCCAGCAGTTCCTCGGGTGATTTCCCTTCTGATGTATGACGACACATCAGCAGCCAAAGAAAGACCCTTCCCACCTAATGGATACCCCGTTGTTTGTGTTACGGTATGTTTTCTAATCAGTAATACTAAAACTAATACAGCTGAAACTCAGAAAATTAGAATATTGTTCAAAAGTCCATTTACTTCTGTAATTCAACTTACAATGTGGACCTTATTTCACTTCTGCATAGGCTTGCAATCCAAAATACCACGACTTTGACAAAACCGGTTCTATATGCGCGGTGGAGAGCATCAACGACACCTTGACGCAGTACCGCTGGCTGGTCAGTGCACCCACGGGCTCAGACGGAGTGACCAGCCCCATGAGAGAAGTGGACACCAACACCTTCTTCACAAACACCAAGTCCATCACCTTGGACTCTATTTACTTCCGCGCCGGATCCAGGGTCCAGTGCGCAGCCAGGGCCTTCAACACCAACGGAGACGCAGGACTGGAGCTGTCAAGTCCCATTGTGGTGGTCAGCAAAGAGGAAGGTAAGAAAAGGGTGTTTGTTGTTTGTTTTAAGATGTTAAGAGAAGCTTTTTCTAAATACTGATGCTTTTTTCAGGGATGTGTCAGCCTCGTGTTCCAGACACTGTGGGGGCAGAACCCTTCTCCGCTAAAATCCGCTACACAGGGCCAGATGACCCCGACTTCCCCAATCTCATCAAACTGACTGTCAATATGCCCCATATGGACGGTGAGATAAATAATAGTGATCACTGGTTTCATTGCAATGATAATATGTATAATTATACATATTAAATACTAATAATATATACATGTGTCTATATGTAAACTGTAATTGAGTGTTATTTTCCTCATTTCATCATTATTTAACCACTGTGATTCAATCATCTATTTTTCAAGGAGGAGCTTAATTTATTTAGCACTTTTCACGAACCAGAGTTACAAAGCACTTTACATCGCCAGGTTGTCCTGGCCAAAAGGTATAAGCACAACCTATAGACAAATATTTCAAAATGAATAATATTGCACTTACACACAACAAAATACCATGAAAGCCAGAATTTTACATACACTGTAAAAAGGCAACCCTCACCCTAACCCACTGTCTAAAATTAAACCACTGGCAAAAGGCTGCTCTAACTGATGGACACTGGACCACTCTTGTACATGTATTCCAATGTGGTTTTACTACAAATTATATTTAACGGAATCTGAATCTTTAATATAAAGAACAAGGAATTAAAGCTTGGGTTACAACATGCTGTTATCTTATTCCTCAGTCTGCCCCAGGGCAGCTGTGGCTACAGTAGTAGTTAATCATCTGTTTATGGAGGATATTAATAATGCCATTTGAAGCATCTCTTTGAGTATCATGTACATTTTTTAAAAAATTGGGCTGAGAGCTGATTTACTGTAAGTAAGTGCGTAAGTAAGTTTTTATTTATATACCGCCTTTTCACTGCAGATCTGAGTCTCAAAGCGGTTTACAATTGTTAATTTTGGGCATTAGTCTCTCACTCCACACAGAGATGGGGGCGGGGCCAGTACAGGAGGCGCATGCCAGAACTATTGGACATATTTTTAGTGGTAGGGGAAACCGGAGCACCCGGAGGAAACCTACGCAAACACGGGGAGAACATGCAAACTCCACTCAGAAAGGCCCTGGTCCGACCGGGATTCGAACCCAGGACCTTCTTGCTGAGAGGCGAGAGTGCTATCCACTCAGCCACCGTGCCGCCCTGACTGTGTCAGGGTGGTCCTCTCTAAACTGTTTTAGAAGTGAGGAAATAGTGAGATTATGAGAGTGAGATACCCAGCTTTAACTCTCTGATGTTTATTTATTTTTATTTATATATTGTGTATGCACATTACATGGCCACGTGCTCACTATTCATTTAAGAAAATACCAGCGTTGCATTTGACTGTCGGATCAATCACTAATATAACAATAAAACCTTCAAACTATTTTCAACGTTTATGGGTCCTAATACAGGCCAAGACACACATGGATGTCACACAACTAATCAAAGGACTAAACTTACATAAAAATAAAAACATTAAATGTTAAGACTAAATACATTGTACATTCTTTACCAGTGTTTGGCGTATGTGGGCTGTTCCATTAGTATGAACCCAAAGTGATGTATCTTCTCTCTCCTCAGGCATGCTCCCCATCATCTCCACCAGACCCTTATCCAACTTTGAACTGACCCTGAGCCCAGATGGCACACGTGTTGGGAACCACCGCTGCTCTAACCTTCTGGACTTCAATGAGATCCAGACGGGCTACGGCTTCATCACCGACGCTACCAAGAACCCAGAGATCATTGGCGAGACCTCCCCGTACCAGTACAGCCCCGCCATGCGCTCCTCCAACTCCCTGCGCTTCTACAGGAACCTCAACCTGGAGGCCTGTCTGTGGGAGTTCAGCAGCTACTACGACATGTCCGAGCTTCTCAATGACTGCGGAGGCTCCATTGGGACTGATGGACAGGTATGCATACTGTAGGTTTGAGTCCAGGTAAAGTAGGTAATATATGATCATAACTAATTAGAGAAGAAATAATAACTAGAAATGGTACAATGGCTGAAGCCATTGTGAGTGGCTGCATAGATGTTGGAAGGGTTAGGGATGAAGAAGGAAGAGGAAGGGGAAGAAGAAGGAAGAAGAAAGAAAAGGGAAGAAGAGGAAAGAAGAAGAAGGAAGAGGAGGAGGAAGAAGAAGAAGGGGAAGAAGAAGAAGAGGAAGAAGAGGAAGAAGGGGAAGAAGAGGATGAAGAGGAAGAAGGGGAAGAAGAGGAAGAAGAGGAAGAAGGGGAGGAAGAGGAAGAAGAGAAAGAAGAGAAAGAAGGGGAAGAAGAGGAAGAAGGGGAAGAAGAGGAAGAAGTGAAGAAGATGAAGTAAGAAGAATGTGTTGTAAGGAGCTGAAAGTGTTGGAAAGTGCTGAATGTGTTGTAAGGTGTTGTAAAGTGCTAAATGTGTTGTAAAGTGCTGAATGTGTTGTAAAGTGCTGAATGTGTTGTAAAGTGCTGAATGTGTTGTAAAGTGCTAAATGTGTTGTAAAGTGCTAAATGTGTTGTAAAGTGCTAAATGTGTTGTAAAGTGCTGAATGTGTTGTAAAGTGCTAAATGTGTTGTAAAGTGCTAAATGTGTTGTAAGGTGTTGAATTTGTTGTAAAGTGCTAAATGTGTTGTAAGGTGTTGAATTTGTTGTAAAGTGCTAAATGTGTTGTAAGGTGTTGAATTTGTGTTAAAGTGCTAAATGTGTTGTAAGGTGTTTAATTTGTTGTAAGGTGCTAAATGTGTTGTAAGGTGTTGAATTTGTTGTAAAGTGCTAAATGTGTTGTAAGGTGCTAAATGTGTTGTAAGGTGTTGAATTTGTTGTAAAGTGCTAAATGTGTTGTAAGATGTTGAATGTGTTGTAAGGTGCTAAATGTGTTGTAAGGTGTTGAATTTGTTGTAAGGTGTTGAATGTGTTGTAAAGTGCTAAATGTGTTGTAAGGTGTTGAATGTGTCGTAAAGTGCTAAATGTGTTGTAAGATGTTGAATGTGTTGTAAGGTGCTAAATGTGTTGTAAGGTGTTGAATGTGTTGTAAAGTGCTAAATGTGTTGTAAGGTATTGAATTTGAGTTAAAGTGCTAAATGTGTTGTAAGGTGTTGAATTTGTTGTAAAGTGCTAAATGTGTTGTAAGGTATTGAATTTGAGTTAAAGTGCTAAATATGTTGTAAGGTGTTGAATTTGTTGTAAAGTGCTAAATGTGTTGTAAGGTATTGAATTTGAGTTAAAGTGCTAAATGTGTTGTAAGGTGTTGAATTTGTGTTAAAGTGCTGAATGTGTTGTAAGGTGTTGAATTTGTTGTAAAGTGCTAAATGTGTTGTAAGGTGTTGAATTTGTTGTAAAGTTCTAAATGTGTTGTAAGGTGTTGAATGTGTTGTAAAGTGCTAAATGTGTTGTAAGGTGTTGAATTTGTTGTAAAGTTCTAAATGTGTTGTAAGGTGTTGAATTTGTTGTAAAGTGCTAAATGTGTTGTAAGGTGTTGAATTGCTGTAAAGTGTTAAATGTGTTGTAAGGTGTTGAATGTGTTGTAAAGTGCTAAATGTGTTGTAAGGTGTTTAATTTGTTGTAAGGTGCTGAATGTGTTGTAAGGTGTTGAATTTGTTGTAAAGTGCTAAATGTGTTGTAAGGTGTTGAATTTGTTGTAAGGTGCTGAATGTGTTGTAAGGTGTTGAATTTGTTGTAAGGTGCTGAATGTGTTGTAAGGTGTTGAATTTGTTGTAAAGTGCTAAATGTGTTGTAAGGTGTTGAATTTGTTGTAAAGTGCTAAATGTGTTGTAAGGTGCTATAAGTGTTGTAAGATGTTGCAATGTATTTTATCTGTGGTAATGAATTGTTAGTGTGGTAATGTGTTGTATGGGGAGTAATCTGTTGTACTGGTCCAATGTAAGTCAATGGGAAAAAGTGCTTGAACTTTTGTTAATAGCTGAAAAAGTGCTAAAGGTGGAAGTGTGAAAAGTAATAGCAATAATGAGACGGTGAAGCCGGTCGTAACGATGTATAATTTGTTGAATTTGGTGAAAGCGTTGAAGAGTTGAAAAGTGCCAAAATCTGGCGGAAGTGGAAGAAGAAGAAGAAGAAGAAGAAGAAGAAGAAGAAGAAGAATAAACAGTAGGAGAGCATATAGTGGCTGCATAGTCTATGCAGCCACTCAACTAATGTAAACAAATTGGCAAAATCTAGGAATGTATTGCCAAAAGAATTCCAAGACTGGGCGGCACGGTGGCTGAGTGGATAGCACTCTCGCCTCTCAGCAAGAAGGTCCTGGGTTCGAATCCCGGTCGGACCAGGGCCTTTCTGAGTGGAGTTTGCATGTTCTCCCCGTGTCTGCGTAGGTTTCCTCCGGGGACTCCGGTTTCCCCTACCACTAAAAATATGTCCAATAGTTCTGGCATGTTCTTCCTGTACTGGCGACCCCGCTCCCATCTCTGTGTGGAGTGAGAGACAAATGCCCAAAAATTAACAATTGTAAACCGCTTTGAGACTCAGATCTGCAGTGAAAAGGCGGTATATAAATTAAAACTTACTTACTTACTTACTCAGTACATAAAAAAACTTTATCATTCAGGTCCCCAGGCTCAAAAATGTTATTCAAATAATTCTTAAAGCTATACTATGTAAGATTTTTGAGGCAGGCTGGAATTTCTTACAGTAAGTAAGTAAGTAAGTAAGTAAAGTTTATTTATAAAGCGCTTTTCACAGATAAAAATCACAAAGTGCTGTACAGGACAGTGGACAAAGACAAAACAATATACAGTAAAATATATTTACACACATGTACGTAAAAGTGACGTTAGTGAGAACCCAATCGACTAAAAGCTTTCTTAAATAAATAAGTCTTCAAGCCTTTTTTAAAAGAGTCCACAGAGTCGGCCAGACGTAGGGACAGGGGCAGGGCGTTCCACAGTCTGGGGGCAACAGACTGAAAAGACAGTCTGGAAAGGATTAAACTCCAAAAGTCTTTTACCAATAGAACATGTTGGCACCCTTCTGAAAGACCGTGAAATGCAATCAACGTATTATAGGTTTAATATACATTTGAATTGTGAATGCCCTATAGCCCGGTCACTTGGCTATATGAAAGTTGTAAATGTGTGTTCTTCCTCTAGGTGCTGAATCTGGTGCAGTCCTACGTGAACGTGCGCGTCCCACTGTTTGTGTCTTACGTGTTCCACTCCCCGGTGGCGGTGGGCGGCTGGCAGCACTTTGACCTGCAGTCAGAGCTCAAACTTACATTTGTGTACGACACGGCCATTCTGTGGCAGGACGGCATCGGCAGCCCCCCGGAGTCCGAACTCCAAGGCATGTGATGGAAAACAGACTTCTAGAGGAATGGGTTGCATTCACATCACACATGACAAAGAGCCTATAGTTTATGGGGAAGGGCAGCTGAGCAATCTTTCCTGATAATTTGGTAACTGTACAAAAGTTAGATTTCTAGATATTTCTGTCATTTTTGTGCCAATCCATTCAAATTAAATCATTTATATAACTGACAAAAGAAGGGCCCTGAAAGAAATTGAGCTCTATTAAAATCCCTAACAGAAATAGATCAACAAAAATGATGTGAAATTAAAAAAGGTATTGGGAAATGAACAATTCATTTTCTTTAATGCCCAACTCTGAAACACTCCAGGAAAAGCTACTATACTGAAAGTGAAAGACCATTCACCAAAACATACACATAAATACACAGATAAACAGACACATGAACTGCCCTTGATGTGACATGAACTCATTATCATTACGTCTATGCATTCGCTGTTGAGGCATGGCAAGCTTATTTGTATAGCACAGTTCATACACAAGGCATCTCAAAGTGCTGAACAAAACAAGAAACAATACAAGGCATAATAATCATAAATAATGACAGTACATTGAAAGAGTGAAGATAAAACCAGTTGTATGCACAGCTAAAGAGAATTGTTTTTAACCTGGATTTGAAGTTCACAATTTCAGGAAGACTGTTCCAGATTGTAGCTCTCATCCTTCTAAATTGAAATTGAAATAGCTCTCAGTCCCAGTGCTCCTCAGAGTCCTCAGAGTCCCAGTTGATTCATATGCCACAAACATGTCTCAGAGACCATAAAATCTATGTCTATTTTTTCCAGGCGCAATGTACCCCACCAGTATGAGGATCAACGAGGAGGGCCGCCTGGTGGTCAACTTCAAGACGGAGGCCCGCTTCAGAGGACAGTTCGTCATGACCCATTCAGGTACTGGACCTGTCCGACTTCACTCAAAGCCGTGAGCTCAGTGCGTACAGCTGCAGCCGCTGTTTGGGTGTATGTGTCACATTCACCCTTCATCTATTTCTGGTGGTCTCCTCTGGGGGTCCTTCCTGCGCGAAGTGTCAGAGGCCGTTTGAGCAAATGTCAAAACCCGGCCTGTCGTGGTCACACAGCGGAAACAAGTGGCACCCGGTATCTAAGAAGCCCGCTACATAAATAAACCTCACACTTGTGCTACTTTCGCCTCATTGAAATGTGCTTTTGAAGCAGGGGCGCCCAAACTTAGTAATCCGAATTTAAATGTTTCACATAAATACATCTTGATTGTGTTTAATTAATGAGTCTTTTCAAGGATCAACAATAGCATACAAGGATCAAATTCAAACAAAAAATATTCATTTTTTTTAAATCTCATCCCCTCGAGGCCCCACTGATTTAAAGGCTACTTGATTTATTTTTCAAATCGTCAAAAACAGAAGTAGTTCCTTATTTACTGTATCTTTTGAGCAGAAGTTTTCTCTCTTTCTCATGCTGTCCTCACATAATTTGAGATGAGTTTCAATGTGCGTTAACAACTTACACTGGTACATCAAAAACATAAAATGAGTGTTGCAAAACCCTACAAACTAATTCCTTAGAGCAAAAACCATTTTGTAATTTTACGGTTATTTAATTATTCATATCATGATTTTGTATTTATTTGGCTGGTTTTATGGCCTGAAAGTGAGTAAAATAAAATTGTTTTTTAAAAAATTAATTAGACTTGATTGGGCACAACATTAACCCCACTGAAGCACCAGTTGAAAGACCAAGGCCAGATTGTCACTGACGGAGCAGCCATCCTCCTGTGTACTCAGCACCTGGATCAGGGGGGGCTGGTGCTTTGTGAATTGGGTGACAGCTCCCCCCTGACCCAAAAATGGACATTGGATTTAGAAATGTTTTGTTCATAGGCACCAGTGTGTCCTCAATGGTGATCTGTGCTGACCACCCCGGCCTTACCTTCACCATGGGCCTGGTCCGGACAGAGCCCACCTACAACCAGCCCATGCAGCAGTGGAGCTTTGTCTCAGACTTTGCTGTAAGTAACATTGAATATATATCCATTTTATTTTAAACCTGCACTATGATATTTTCCAGGTAGAGGGTCCGCTTTCTGCTTGGGTCGGAAACTATATGTTGTAAAGTTGGTATTTGTTTTGACCTGTATTTAAGTAGTTCCACTCAGCCTCTCTTTTTCATGGGAGTCCTGGCCCCAGAGAGAGGGGAGCTATTCAGATTCATTTATTTGCCATTTGCAGTAAAACCACATTGGAAAAACTGTGCAAGACTACCCTAGTGTGCACCAGACAGAGAAGACGGCACACACCAGAGCTCTTGCCACGGCGCCATGTACATGTTTTTAGTGGTAGGGTAACAAGAACACAGGCACAGACACAGGAAGAGCATGCAAACTCCCCTCTGAAAGACCCTGTTCTGACTGGGATTCAAACCCAGGATCTTCTTGCTGAGTAGCGAGAGTAGTAACCATGCAAAAGAGTTGATGGCTCTTTCCTCTGCACTGGAGACAAGCACTACACTGTGTTACCAGTCATATCTGTGGAGAGGAGAGGAAAGCTTGTACAAGTTTTGAGCGGTAAAAAGTACTTGTAATTTAAAACAATGACATCTCCATGACAACAAGCAGGTAGCAGACCCCATCAGAAAAAAGTTGCACCTTTTAACCACTTTTTTTGCATATGAAGGTGCGGGATTACTCTGGAACCTACACAGTCAAGTTGGTCCCTTGCGTGGCCTCACCCAACGGGGAGTTCAGCATCCCCCCAGTGTGTCACCCCAGGGAGCCGCTGACGTTCGACATGGACATTCGCTTCCAGCAGGTACACAAGACACAAGCAAACAGAAAACAAACTAGCACCAAAGTCGATCTAATTATTTTGTATTATTTATGCAGTTGCAAATATTTGAGATCCATTTATTGGCTTTAACTTATTCCTACCAGGCTAATAAGGCCATCATGGCATGTTATTCTTCACTTCAAAACCATCATATTCTTCTTTTTGACCCTATACATGTTTTAAAAATCTGACATTTGAAATAGTTAAATTACAGAAATGAAACAAATGGTAAATAACAACATTCAAAAACAGTTCATGCTATTTTTTTTATTTTTGCTGCTTTTGGGATTGTCAGGGATGATGCCAGATAGGACTTTGTATCACCCATCATCAACGAAGACTCCATCCTTCTGGAAATGTGTAGTTATTTAAGCATTTATGGTGTTTGTCTTCACTTCTTTTTGTTTAGACCTGGGGAATGTCTTATATTTTAGGCTTGGGAGGTTAAGGGGGGCAAGGAGGGGATGAGGTGGGGATTGGATGATGAGAGTCTGCATTTTGGGCGTTTACGTCAGCTGCCACATGTAAATCTCGTCGTCTTCCTCCTCATCCGGCATGCCAAACCACAGCTTATCTCCAGCCTTGGTTAAATTACCAGTCTTTCTGAATAGAACGATCCCAGGCGGCTGAGGTTCTGGGACACTCTCTTCTGGGTCAGTGTTTTCCATCACGGCTCGAACTTCCAGTGACTCTTCCTTCTCTTCTTCTGGGGTCCAGCTAGTTCCGAATTCCAAAGGACCATGGTAGGACTCCTCAGCAGCTGTCAGTGGTCTAATTTTTGAAGAGAAAACCACAATCTCAGTAGCCGCTTTGTTTTTTCGCCTGTTTTGCTGTTTCTTCTTAGGATTTTGGCTCTGTGCAGGCTCCACAATCACCTTCTCGGACTCAGCGGGAGCCTGGATGCGTAGCTCAACATTTGAACTGACTTGAGCATCAGCTTCAGCCTGATTTACTTGTGCGGCCCCCTTTACCTGCCCAGCACAAGTATTTTGCTGTCGTTTTGGGGCTTTCTGGCACCTGGTTTGATCAACAGATCTCTTCACAGTAGTGTTGCTTAGTTCAACCCCTTGTTTACAAACATTCTGCTGAGTTTTTCTTTGGGAACTACTCTTCTGATGAACTTCCTTATTCTCAGGAGTGTAGCTAGACTTTCTCTGGGATTTGGGATGTCTTGTGTTCTTTTTTGGCCTAGAGTCGTTGGCAGCTTTCAGGGCCTTCTCCACAAGTTCTTGCTTGTTGCGCTTCCGTTTTACAACTTCCCATCCCTCATTGTTGTCCTGAACACCATAATTCTCTGTGATTGGATGTTGTGAAAGTGGGGCTGCGGTTTCTGGAGGTTGAATCTTCGGCTTTGATTCTGTAACGGCCTCAAAGCGTGACTCCGACTTAATTTGAGAAACTTCCAACTTGTTAGAACTGTGGACATTTGCTTCGACCGGCTTAAAAATGTTCTGCGTTCTCACATAAATGTTGGATATTTTCTGATTCCTCCTCTTTCTAGAGTTTTTTGCCATATCGCACTACTTTATGCTACTGTTCTAGTGTGTATAAGAATATGTACAACTAGTTTTAGATTGCGAAGGGATGAAACTTTTAAAAGTCTCTGTCTCTCTCTTTGTGACACCAAGGACTCCTGGTGGATAACCGGGTTGTTTAATCCTCAGCTCACCACACAGGTTTTGAAATGGAACATTAATGACATCATCAAAGCTATGTCATTCCAGTCGTCGGGGCAACAACAATTGTCATGGCAACTGTGTATATGTATGGGACATTTAACTGAACATAAACTAACTCATTCTGTTCTGAAACATTCACAGAAAAAGAACCTCCGAACCCATATTCAATAAAAGTTACCATTTGTTCAAAATATCTCCATACTGTAAAAAGGCAAATACTCAAAAACAACTATAGATGCTTTAAACAAAAAATCCAGCCCAACCAAAAGTGTTATTCCTCATGTTAAGCTAATTATCTCAAGAAAACAACCACATACTTTGCTTTAGTCTAAAATTTAACACCTACAAACCTAACCTATAAATCTTTAGATAAAAAAATAAAAAATAGCCAGACAGTCTAGAATTACAAGCTTTTGTTAACTTTGCATCAGTTTTGAGTCAATCCAAACAAACAGTGACTAAAACTAATTTCTTGTAAAACATTTATAAAAATCTACCAGGAATAATAACATCCAAACGCAAGGTAACAACACATATATAAAATTCTTTCCACTAAGAAAACCACTTTTTTACATCCGGCTCCGACCGAAATGAGTTTGCTTTGAATTAAACCTATTCCCATCAATATCCCTAACGTCAAAATAACCATAATTACTTCTAAAAATGAGCTATGTTTAACTATATGGCATTAGCATTAGCATTAGCATCAACACAGCTCATTTGCAGCCTTTCAAAAACTGTTTTTATTTTATTGGTGTTTCAAATCAGCACTTTAAATCGGCCATCGCCCAGTCAAGTGTTGACAACAGAAAAGCCATACCATATTTTGAGGTTGTTATATTCTTATATTTGTGCAGGTGAGCGATCCAGTTGCAGCTGAATTCAGCCTCAACACACAGATGTTCCTCCTGTCCAAGAAAGAGCTGTGGTTGTCAGACGGCTCCATGGGCTTTGGAGAGGGATCTGATACTGCTTTTTCAGAAGGTGAGAAGAACAACGCTGGCCTCTTGTGGATGACATGAGAACAACGTTTATAGATAGGCTGCTTTAACTTTGTGACTTTGACGCTATCAGGCTCCACGATCTACGGCCGCGTGATGGTGGATCCGGTGCAGAACCTTGGCGAGTCTTTCTCCTGTAGCATTGAAAAGGTCTTCCTGTGCACTGGGGCCGATGGCTACGTCCCCAAGTACAATCCCACAAACAAGGAGTACGGCTGTTTGGCTGATTCTTCATCTCTGCTCTACAGATTCAAGATTCTGGTAAGAAAAAAAGAGCAAAATAATGAAAAATGATCAAATAAAAACGCAACAAGCTTTGAGTGTTGTGTTTTTTTCTTCCCAGGACAAAGCTCAGCCAGAGACCCAGGCCACAGCGTTTGGTGATGTGGCGTTCGAGGCGACTTTGGCCTACGACACTCCAGGAGCTCTGCCTCTGATCAAGCAGCCTGGCTCTGATGGCTTCACTCTGTCCTCGTCCCCGCTCTTCCAGGTCAAATATTACTCATAACATATTGGTTTTGTTTTGAATCGTGCTTTTTCAGACACTCAAGATGCTTCACATCGCATTATTCTTTCTGGACACGGTGGTGCACCTACTATCACACACACACTCACACACTCTAGGCAATGGGTGAAGTGTCTATGTACCGTGTGAGCTACTGGGACAGCCTCTCTCCAGGACAGGAAATAAACACCGGACCAGAAGTTGCAGACTTGCACCAGCGATATCTCATTTATTTGGGCAGCATCCCCCCCATACGACAGGAACACCCCAAACAGAATGGAATCCTCCCATTTTATACAGTGGCCCAAACCAAGACCTCCACCCACCCAGGGACACATCCATGTATGCCTACACTATTTACACAATTTACAACTATGTACCTTTTTTATGTATGCAGAAATCTTATAATGATAATAATTTATAATAATATACAATTAGTGGTATGTGAATTATTTTTTTTTTTTGTGATAAATTCTTTATTGATTTTTCATTCTTGTTTCCGTCACCAAATACATGTGATCCAAGGTGTTACATTATTGTACTTTTATGTTGTCTACTCACACGTCAAAACAAATACATGCCTACAACACATTTGCCCTCACCACACGCACACCATTCATTCTCATCCGTCCATCATCATACTTAAAGTACACACATCAACAACATACAAAAAAAAAAAAATAATAATAATAATAAAATAAAATAAAAGAAATACAACCCATGGCGGCTACCCTCCCCCCTCCCCCCTCCCTTCCCCAGGTGTCCAAGTTACATACATCCATACGTTAGTTAGGTTACATTACACATTATACTTTCTGAGTTCTTTTCCAGTTTCAACTCCTTCCTACTTATCCACTTATGTCTTTAATTTTCTCTATCTGTTCTTGCCACGCCATAATTGTTCCCGTCTTTGCTCCAAACATGAGCTCAAAACTGACAGCTCCAAACATGTAATGTCTATGAAAGTCCTGATCCACTGCTGCCTGGACAGTGTGTGATCCTCGCTACTGACAGCTCCATGTTTGTAATGTCTATGAAAGTCCTGATCCACTGCTGCCTGGACAGTGTGTGAGGTGGTTTCCAGCGGAGGGCCAACATTTTCTTGGCCGCTGTGACTCCAGCCAGGAGGAGACGTGTCTGTGCTCTGCTTAGGTCCATGCCTGTAGTGTCATTCAGTAGTAACAGTGTAGGATAACAGGGCACTGCAAGACCAAGCACTTCAGTCAGAGATGCACACACTACCCCCCAAAAGTGATTCACAGGTTTGCACTCCCAGTACATGTGCATAAAGGTCCCCATCCGGTTCTCCTTACATAATGTACACTGTGGCTTTGCCACCAAGTTCATATGATATGCCTTCTTTGGTGTCAAATATGTCCGATGAATGTAATTAAAATGTATCATCTGATGGTTGGGGTTCCTGGAGGCAGCTCCCCCAGATCTCCAAATTGTGCTCCAGTCCAGTGCCCCTCTGTCATATTGTTCCAGATCTTTCAACCACACTTGGGTAATGGGTAAGTTGAGCATGGTCGCTTCTGATAGTAGTTTATACGTTTGGGTGACCACTTTCTTTTTCCCTGCTCTGCCTGCCACTATTGTTTGCATCGGGTGAGTGGGTACTCCTGTGTTCCAGGGAACACCATAAGCCTTCAAGGACGCACGCAGTTGAAGGTAAAGGAAGAATGAGGTCCCTGGTATATTGTATTTTCCTCTCAGCTCTCTGAATTCCAGCAGTCCCCCACTCCCCCAGATGTCAGAGAGAGTATGGATCCCTTTTCCCGCCCATGATGCATTAGTAAAAGGCTTTCCCCCCGTCAACAGTGAATGATTATTAAATAGTGGGCTTTGAGCATGCCACCGACACTGAATGCCTGACTTCTTCTCAATAAGGTGCCAGAGACTCAGTGTGTGTGCCACTATGGGGCCCATTTTGTTTTTAGCACGTTTGTTAGGAATTGCTGCATACACCAGATCCTCTATTCTATAAGGCAATGCAAGATTCTTTTCTATTTCCCTCCATGAATTATCCCCTTTCACGTCAGTCCATACATTAACTGGTCGTAGTCCGTATGCCCAAAAATAAAACTCAAAATTAGGAACAGATAGGCCCCCTTCTGTCCGCAGTCTTTGTAAGGTAACAAGTTTGACCCGTGGACGTTTCCCAACCCAGATAAACTTAGATATCAAAGAATGGATCTTTTTCCAATAATCGGCTGGAGGTGACAGAGGAATCATGGATGAAAAGAAGTTAATCCGTGGCAAAATGTCCATTTTAATAATTGAAATACGAGATTGCAGAGATTTTGGTAAGGAAAGACCATCGTTTCAAATCCATTTCAACCTTTTCGTAAATACCTTGGAAATTTTTGTTAGCAATACTCTGTAAGTTTGGGTGAATTTCAATTCCAAGGTATTTAAATTGTTTAACTACTGGTATATTCTGGGGTATTAAGTTTGTCACAGCCTTTTCATTTAGTGGGAATAAAGCTGATTTGTTCCAATTAATTTTATAACCCGAGATTGAGCTAAACTTCTCAAAGATATCCAAGATATTGGGTAGTGACATTGGCACTTTGTCTAGATACAGCAATACATCATCTGCGTACAGTGATATAGAGTGGCTAGTATTGCTAAACACAATGGGAGTGATTTGTTGATGTTGTCGAACCTTCTCTGCCATTGGTTCTAGAGACAAGGCAAATAATAGTGGGCTCAGTGGGCATCCTTGTCTACAAGATCTTGATAAACTAAAAGATTGTGATGTCATATTATTAACATTAATCATTGCTTTGGGATTGGTATATAACAATTGTATCCATCGAATTAATTTTTTGTTTAATTTGAATTGTTCCAATGTCTCCCACAGATATTGCCACTCTAGCCTATCAAAGGCTTTTTCCGCATCCAGACTTAATACTGCACACGGGGATTGGATATCTTGAGCTGCGTATATGATATGTAGTAATCTCCGAACGTTGTCTGCAGCAAATCTGTTCTTCATGAACCCTGTTTGATCTCTGTGAATTAATTTTGCCATTAGGGGTTCGAGACGCGTGGCAAGAACTTTAGCAAGGATCTTAATCTCAGCATTTAACAGTGAAAGAGGTCTATAATTCTTGCATTGGGTCGGGTCTTTCCCTGGTTTTGGTAAAACAACAATAAGTGCTGTGTTAAGATCATTACAGAAGCTGCCCAGGTCAATAGAGGTCTGGATCATAGCCAGTAGGTGGGGGCCTAGCTGTTCCCAAAATGATAAATACACTTCAGGGGGGATGCCATCCCACCCAGGTGACTTTCCTCTTTTCATACCTTTCACAGCCTTCTTCAATTCAGCCAGAGTAATCGGATCCCCAAGACTCTCCGCTTCAGTCTCGGATACGTGGGGCAGGTCTATTCCTTCCAAAAATTCATCAAATTTGGGCTTTTCCAGGCATATTTCAGACCTGTAAAGTTCCTCATAATATTTTTTGAATTCATGGTTAATTTCACGTGGTGAAGAGAGCATCCCTTGGTCTGATTCGATCGCCAATATGTTGGAGTATTTGTTGCATTTTTGCAGACTCAGGGATAACAAATTACTTGGGCGTGCTCCGTTGAAGTAATAGTTCCTACGTGTTCTATGCATTTGCGACTCAGCCCTTATTTTAAGTAGATCCTCAAGCTCAACTCTGGCTGAATCGATAGCTTTTTGTCTAGTTTCATTCAGTCCCTCCCTTTGTTGAGTTTGTTCTAGTTCTTTAAGCTTCCCCTCCAATAATGTGATTTTCCCCTGTCTTGCTCGTTTGAGGTTAGATGCATATGATATGGTTGTATTGCGTATGAACCCTTTTATTGCTGCCCACAGCATTCTCGCATCTGCAACTGAGCCTATGTTCTCGGCGAGAAATAGCCTCAGTTGTTCAATAAAGAATTCACAAAAATCTTTGTTGCTAAGTAGACTTGTATTGAATCTCCACCTTCCAGGAATCTTAGGTCCTTCTGAAATACTTAATTGTGAGGTGATGACACAATGGTCTGATAGAACGTTTGATTTAATTTCGCACTGGTGGATTTGTGAAAATGCTGGTGCTGTGGCCAACAGATAGTCAATTCTGGTATAAGTTTTATGTCGATTTGAAAAGAAACTATATTCCCTAGCTGTTGGGTTCATATTCCGATATAAATCAGTCAAGCAAAAGTCCTCTAATAGTCCTTGAAAGGCTGTAGTAGCAGGGGATTGGCTGTGAGTGCCGTCACTTGTTTTGTCGATCAATGGGTTCAACACTGCGTTCATATCTGCTCCTATAATTATTTCATACTCCTGTAAGTTGTTTAAAATATTGCCTAAATATTGGTAAAAAGATTCTGAGTACACATTTGGTGCATAAATACTGATAAAGGCGATCTTTCTTCCGCTAATACTTGCCTTAATATATGTTAATCGACCGTCCTCACTTTCAAAACTTCCAGTAATTGATATAGGCAAGTTCCTTTTAAGGAGTATCAGAACGCCACGGCTTCTTGAATTATAGCAGGCCGATGAAGCAGTGTAATAAACCCGGTTTGCCAATTTCTTTTTGTCTAGGGGGTTAAAATGGCTTTCTTGTATAAATGCCACATCAACATTGTGCCTATTTAGCCAGTCCAAACACATAGATCGTTTAAGCTGCCCATTAAGACCATTTATATTCCAACTTGCTATAGTAATCAATGCCATATCAACCGAGCAAAACAGGTTATAGTCAAAATTTTAACCATAATATTAGACAGAGTATACTTTTTACAAGACACCTGTGAGCCCCTCAGCCGCGTTCCCCCTCCCTCCCCCCCATCAATAACATCTATCAAACTCACACACATACACATCTCACCCCGTTCACGCACACATACACACACCCACACAGGCATAATACAAGAAAAAAAATAAAATAAAACCCAAAGATAATTGACACCTGATCTAGAGAAAGTTGGCTAAGAGTTCACCCCAAACTAACCCCCCTCCTTCGTAGTTGGTTAGTGCATTAATCCACCTCCAAATAGTCCCATTTTTCCCAGCTCCAGTGCAGCTTAGTGTACGACTTCCGACAAGATACAGCAGAGTTCATTTGTAGCCTTTACAGCCTCAAGTAGTTAAAAATTAAACCCATACTGATCTGTTGTTGTATTTCTTCTTTAAGTCATATTATTCATTCAGTACCTGCATCAGCTGGCTGCTCATCATCTTTCTCACCCTGTGCATGGCCCTTAGCGTTGGGCTCCAAGAAAAACTCTGCATCCACATGCGAGTTAAAGATGTGTAGGCTTCTGCGCCCCGGGTCAGCTTTAGCTTGGCTGGGTAGATGAGGAACGGTGTGAATCCACATTTCCTGGCTGTATCCATGGCTGGAGCGAAGGCGCGCCGTTTCTTGACAGTGTAGTTACTGTAGTCCGCTGCGAACCGTACTTCTCTTCCATTCACCTCAATCCGCGTGGCTCTGGCCGCCTTCAGAATGCGGTCCCGGTCAGTATAGCGCAGCATCTTGCATATGACAGTGCGGGGGCCCCCGCTGGTAATCCGCTCCGGACCGATGCGATGGGCTCTCATCACCTCGATGTTATCACCGGAGAGGGCAGGGAGCCACTTTTTGAGAGAAGTTAGGAGGTAAGTTCGGACATCCCCACTCTCCACGTTCTCTGGCAGATTAATGATGCGTATATTGTCTCTCCGTGACCGGTCCTCGAGTTCGGAAATACTCCTCTCTAGTGCAGACCACGAGTTGTGAAAGTTATCTTCAACCTTAGTGATACGAGAGCTCGTTCCCTTTTGATCCGCTTTCAGTCTCTTTATTTCGGCAGTGTTCTTTGCCACCTCAGCCCTGAAGTGCTCAATCTTACTGTCGAGTTTTGAGAACTGTTTTTCGATGAAAACACGCTGCGCCTCGAGCGCCGGGTTAAGCATAGAAGCGAGGGCTTCCTTAATAGGATCCAGCTTTTCGTCTATGCTCGCTGGCTCCTGACTTGCTTTGCTTCTTGTCAGTGGCGGCTGGTAGAATTTTCTACTGGGGGGGCTATGAATATGATGACTAGATATAATGCACCACAGAATTTGACACAGTCTATTATTTTTGATAGGATGTTCCTATTCTTGTCAACCTCCTCATTGTGCTTTCTGATCCCTACCCTGTAGCTTTCATCCAGCTGGGATGAAATATTTATCTTCCCAAACATAGCTAATTTGAGGGCATTTTGCATGTGGATACCAGTCTGCTCATGCTTCTTTGCCTTTTCTAAAAAGTGCTTCAGATCAGTCATACCTGTCTTGATCTATGCTGGGTCAGATCCTGATGTTTGAAACAAGAGGCATGGAAAGCAAAATAAAGCATTAGCCTCGCTACATGCTGCTAGCCAAGATTTGGCGCTGAACCAGGTCCTGGAAAAAGTACGAGTGTACCGTCTCCCCCTGTCGCTGGACTGCTGACTAATGGTAATATTTTGCTGATCAGGTCCAAGCTCTTTAACCTCAACCTTCTCCTGGTATGATCTTCTCTCAAACGGTATTGTTTTGAGTGATCTAACTGAATTATTCTTTTTCTCGTTCTCCATTTTGCGTCTCTTTACGTTTGTCTCAAACTCCCACAGCTTACCTGTCAATCACTGTAAACGGACGTCACAGACAGTGACAGTACAGGTCGCGGGCGATCCCGCCCCCTCAGGGCGCACTTCTCCTGCGCCCCCAAATCGTCTTATCTCTTGCATTGAAGAGGAGCTACTGCGCATGTACAACTTTTAACGAGAGTCCATAGACGGCTCAGGGCGCAATCTTTTGCGCCCTGAGGCGGAAATACGTCCTCAGTCCGACACAGACAACGCTGATGAGCTTAATCAATCCAACTCAGCATAAACTATAAAGTATTTCTTCCACATCTGAAATAAAACACACATACATTTCGAAATATTTTAATGTTATTATTTTTTTTAACGTTTTATTCAAGGTAACATGGCAAGTTGTGAGTGGTGGGGCGGCGCCCTAGCGCCCTCTATTGGCCGGCCGCCACTGCTTCTTGTTCGTTCAGCCATTGTGACAACACCTGTTTTGGGCGATGTTCCGTGTCTTAGTTTGTTTTTTCCAAAGGAGATATAGTGGATTTTCAGTGATAGTTTGGGAAGTTTGTTTGGCGTGGACGCTTCACGCAGCCATCTTGTGGTATGTGAATTATGTTTATATTATGTATAGTCCAAATGAAACACCCCTCCCTTGGGTGATCATGGTTGAGTGCACCTGGCATGCACTGGGATGGGCGCGCCTCCAGCCCAGCACCTCCAATCACCTTCCAAGAGAAGGGACAGGTTAGGGACAGGGAAAAATAAACAAAGCTAAATATAAAAAAATAAAATAGGAAGGAGACACCTGTGGGTGAAGAGTGGAGACTACTCCTTTACAGTCTAGCTAGAAAAAACCAAAAAACAGTTCTGAACTTTACAGCCACAGCCGCCCCACTGTGGCACCTAGTGTTCCCAGAGGGGACATAAGTGGGACCTATCGGATAGGTTTTTACATGTTGTACATTAAGATTTAAAATTGTTGCTCCACTAAAGAAACAGAAGAAGAAATGTCACTTTTCTTATTTAATTTATGAATGTATTCATTTGAGAGTGCACAGAATCAACATGTGAACCAGCGTCTATCCGGAGAAGGGCTTTCATAACAAAGAAAAACACTTCATACTTTTACATGATTAAAAAAGTAATTGTTGGTCACTTGACTGGCCTCTTTTTTCAGTTTGTGCTTTATCGCTATCATTGAATCTTAAAACTTTGCTTCTCAACTGGTGGATCGGGACACAAAAGTGGGTTGCGGGGTCATTTTTTGTAACATTTTTACACAGCAACAAAGTTTGTAAAATGTTTTTTTTTTTTAAGTAAATACTCTTGATTTATGTTACATTACTCTGCCTCACCTCTGTCAGTATGCCGTAGGGCAGCTGTGGCTATAGAATTAGTTTATCACCACTGTGTATGGAGTGAATGAATAATAGCATGTGAACTGTCTTTGGGAGTCCAAAAAAGTATTATTATTTTTATTAGTCCATTGAAAATTATATTCTATATCTAGGAATAAACCTAAAAACTCACACTCGGGCAGAAAACAAAATAAACTACAAACCGGTAAGTATTTTTTTTATTAAGTCACAAAGCGCTTTTACAATTGCTATGTTTTCTCTCACTCCACAGAGATGAGTTGCCATACAGGCAGACCTACAGTATTGTACATGTTTTTAGTTGTTGAGGAAACCGTAGCACTCTGAGGAAACCTACACAACCTTCGACACAAAGGCCTGGAGGTGTCGAACCCAGGACCTTCTTGCTGTGAAGTAAAAGGATATATATCTGATTGTCCCTTTGTTTTGTCCTCAGGTGGCTGCAGGTAGAGAATGGTTCATCCACACCATCTACACCGTACGCTCCAAAGAAAACGCAAACCGCAACATCGGGAAGCGCAGCGTGGAGTTTGTGCAGCACAGCGTATCGCCCTCCCGCTCTCGCCGCGCTGCCCCGGCCCTCCCCGCTGCCTCCCCCGCACTGGACATCAGCACCAACCACAACCGCGGCACCAACATCCAGCACATCGCCCTGGACCGCTCTGACCGCCTGGTGGTCAGTCAGCGGCAACCTTGGTCCCCTGCCAGAGAGAGAGAGTATCTGCTGGAGCGCCCCCTGCTGGAGAGCTCAGGCCGGCAGCCCGCGGACTCCTCCCTGCTGCCGCTGTGGGTGGGCCTGGCAGCGCTGATCCTCCTGGTGTGCCTCATCGCCGTGGTCATCATTCTCATGCTCAGACGCAAGAAGAAAGAGAAGCACCAGGCCACGCCGTATTCCACGTCCTCGTCCTCTGCGTATCATGGCTACAGCCGGGGCCCGAGCAGCAGCATGTGGGGGCCCTCAGACAGCTCCGAGGTCTAGTGCAGCTCCATCTAAAGACTGAGCTCCTCCAGACGTAGCACTGAGTCCAGCAGACCGCCTCCTGCAGACTGCAAAGAATGTCGCCGCTTCTTCACGCCTCAAATGTAGAAAGTCTTTTGAGATGCAGTTCTAAATCTGGTTGGTCGTCAGGTTGTAAAATATTGTTTGCAAATGCATGCAAGCCTATGAGTAAACATGTTCTGTACTTCCTCCAGAGATCATTTTCTATATGGTATGGTTTTTGTTCTGTGAAGAGTAATGAACAGGCTGAATGTTGGCTGAATCGGACTTTGAATGAAACTTTTGTACTGATGCCACGTAGAGTTTAAAGCCTACAGTGAATGTACAGACCCACGGCTTAGTAATAATATGATATGGTGTCACTGAAAGGGATTGTAAATGAGATTTTTGAAAATGCCATTTTTTATTTTTACAATGTTATACCCAATAGAAGACAGGTATTAGTAAAACCCTGGTGAAACTTGAACCACTTACCATAAAGAGCAGTACATGTCCAGTTATTCACATAAGCGTATATATATTTAAATGTATTTATCAGCTGTTATGGATCTGTCAACACTTCCTCTGCCAAATATACATGTTTTGGAAACGCTGGTGTGTTCATTTGATCACGACACGTTTTAGAAAAGGGGATGTTTATTTTGACGTTCAAAAAGACTTTTCCTACTTGACACAGAACATATTTCTTAAAATTAAATTGTACATATTGTTCAAGCAATGGAATGTGTGGTACAACCCAATAGGCATAAATACAAGTATAAGCACTAGTAAAAAAACTAGCCATTAAAACTAGACCAGCGCATCCGCAGTGTTCAGAAGTGACCAGTAGCACATAGTCTGACCATATGTCCAGTGAGGGGTCAGGGCACATCAGCACAGACACTAGGACTATCACACCGGAGCCGCTGACCACTGTAGTCATCTAATAGTGGATCATTTACAACTTGAGTTTCTTCTTGCGCCCTCGAGCATCTGGAGTTCCTTCCGACTTCCTCTTCTGAGCCTGAGGAGAAGGTGAGATATGGATTCAGCTCGACCTATCATTTCACTCTAGAAAAGTCGGAGGACAAAAGTGTGAACGCGACTTACAGATGCCGTTTTGGGGCCTCGCTTCTTCTTCTCCGCCTTCTCCCGCTCCTCCAGCTCCATGTTCTCCCTCTCGATTAACGTGATCAGAGTGTTACAGCGTCTCTGCAGCTCCTAAGGAAGAAGTAGTAGTACCAGCCTCAATAACCACAACCACAGGAAAGCCAAAAACCCCAAACGCCAGTGTGAGTGCACTTACCATGGCCGTTCTGGACTTGAGGAACCAGTCGAAGCGGAACTGTGGGGAGTTGCGGATGCACTGGCGCAGCTCATCGTAGACGCTCTCCTTGTCGAAGCCGAGCTTGTGGAGCATGCAGATGAGGAAACGGTCCTCCTCCTCGGTGTAGTTCTTGCCTTTGTTTGTGCCGTAGGAGATGCGGAGCTGGTGGAACGGAGCCTTGTAGCGGCCGATCTACCCAAGAGGAACCAGTCAGAATGTGTCAAATACATGTGTATTTACAAAAATACATGACAATAGCAGTTCTAAAATAAATTACACAGTCAGACGCTCCCTCGCCCTCACTCACACAATTTACTAAATAATACGTATTGTGATATTTTGATCTTATACAATACAATACTAAATCGTTGTCCTTGACTTTGTTCATGCAAACAGTAAGCATCCATTTATAGCATCAATGGTTCTTTGGAAGATGACTCCAGGAAAAAAGTTCATTAGTTCCATTTCCATAGTTTGTACTTTGGGTAAATGAAAACACTCTACAGCATGTCGTGTTTCATGTTTGATTCCATTCAAACACAGCTCTTGATGAGACGACACAAAAAGTACCTTTGAGTCAAGTGCTTTTTTGATGCTGATCCGCCTTTGAATCCGGGCTTCTCCCCTCTCGATCTGAGCCATGATCTTCTCAATGTCTTGGAGCTCGTTGCAACGCTCCCAGAACACAGCTGAAATATACAAGAAACATATATAATATCTATAAGCAACCAACTGGAAACAAATCCAAGTCAATAATGACCAGTATTTACTAACCTGAATATTCCATGACCTCCTCGGGAGTTTTACCCTCCACCTCTCTGGCGATGTTCTCGATGTCGTCACGTCCCCACTTCTCATTGGCTTTGATGAACTGATTAAAGTCACGTTTGTTCCAAGCAGTAAAACCCTGAGGCAACAACATTATGCTTTAGTTTAATGATTAACTTCTTCCACAGAGGTTCCGTGGCTTCCTGAAAGTCTCCTCACAAAAATCTTTGGAACAACTCACCTGCTGCAACAGATTTTCCTTCTCCTCCAGCTCCTCCTCTGTTAGCGTCTCTGCCTCGTCGATCTTTCCCTGCTCCTCTTTCTGGACCTGAGCTGAATTTGGAACTTCCGGGTTACGTGGAACCTGCAAGAGGCACAGACACATGTTTAGTGTTTGTTCATACGTGGTTCATCAATGTGAGTAACACTGATCGCACCAACGCCTTTGTTATTGCTAAAAATAGAAAATTCAGACTTGTTCACAGCACCTTGTAGCCTATAGTCTTTCTGTAGAAGAGGATTTCCTTCTCAAGAAGTTCAAACAGGCGTGGGGGAAAGAACTGGAAGTCCTGAACATTTGGCTGCTTAGGAGGACGTGGAGCCTAAGAACACACAGATCATGTTACAACACCATTATCATTTATTCACTAAAAACAACAAGCTTACCTTTGGAGCTTTAGGCTCACTGACTCTCAGAGCTTCTCTGAAGTAGGCGTCCACAGCATAGTTTGCTTTCCTTTCTCTTTTGGGGGGCTCAATCCAGTTGGTAATGACCTGAGGGGTTTAGAAAAAAATAACAATTAAAAGAAACATTTAAATAAAATAGGGGACTTGTTAACAAAAAATATCCAGTAGTTCCATGAAAAGAAAACCAAAGGCCAAATATGTGAGACGTTACCTTTTTCTTTTCCCTGTAGTCCTCTCCCTCAAACGTGTAGACACTGCTGTCCCCCGTATCCATGGTGAAGTTTCTCAAAGAGCTTTCTCCGAGGGAAGACAGCTTCTCCGACATCTCTGCAGTCTGCAAATCCACACTCAGTCATTGGTCAAATCCTCACTAATGTCTAGTTCATCTGGACTCACCTTCTTCACTCCCCTCTCCAGGATGGCATCAATGTCATCATCAGTGATCTCGCTCTCCTTCGAGGAGAACACGTGTGTGGCACCGTGACGGATAATGGACAGCATCTCATCCTTCCCCAGCTTGTTGGCACTGGGGTCCACCAGACGCCCTGGGAACAGTCAGTGTACACCATAACTATCATTTTAGACACATTAATCAATCAATCAATCGTTTATTTGTAGAGCGCCTTTCCTACACAAGGCAACGCAAAGCGCTTCACATCCCCTATCACATCATGCATAAATCAAACACATTAAGAGCACAAGATATATTAAAAACATTAAAAATAAAAACACAAAAATTAAAAACCTTTAAACATTAAAATCACAGATGGGACTAAGTCACAGTGCATTAAAAAGATTAAAGATAAAAACAAAGATGAAAAGATAAAATCATTCAGTTGTATATGCGCAGCTAAACAGAATTGTTTTGAGCCTAGATTTAAAAGATGCCAGAGTAGACGCCTGTCTCACATTCTCAGGAAGACGGTTCCAGACTCTAGCCGCATGAATCTGAAATGCAGTTTGCCCATGTCTAGTACCGACTCTGGGCACTAACAGGAGTCCAGTCCCTGTGCTCCTCAGAGTCCGGGTCGGTTCATATGGCACAAACATGTCGTGGATGTACCTTGGCGCGAGACCATGGAGAGACTTGTACACAAGTAAAGCTGCTTTGAAGTCTATTCTCTGAGGAACAGGAAGCCAGTGCAGAGACCTGAGAACTGGACTAATATGGTCGTACTTCCTAGTTCTGGTCAGGACTCGAGCTGCTGCATGTTGAAAGTACTGCAGCTGTTTTACAGCCTGTTTGGAGAGACCTGTGAACAAGCCATTGCAATAGTCTAACCGACTGGAGACAAAAGCGTGTATAAGAGTCTCCAAGTCTGCCTTAGACACTATGTTTTTAATTTTAGCAATGTTTTTTAGGTGGTAATAAGCTGCTGATGTTACAGATTTTATGTGGCTTTTGAAATTTAAGTCTGAGTCCATTATCACTCCTAGATTTCTGACCTGATTTGAGGGTTGTAGAGAGAGAGCCTGGAGGTGACAAATAACGCTCTCTCTCAGTTTCTGGGGTCCGAAAACAATTATTTCAGTTTTGTCGGTGTTTAGTTGGAGAAAGTTATTTTGCATCCAATCACCGATTTGCTGGACACAGTGAAGGAGCGAGTCCACTGGTTCATGCTCTCCTGCTGTCAGGGACACATAGACCTGAGTATCGTCAGCGTAATTGTGATAAGAGACATTATTACTGTGAATCAACTGACCTAGAGGCAACATATAAATATTAAACAGAAGAGGACCCAGGATTGACCCCTGTGGCACTCCGCAGGTCAGGGCCAAGTGGTCTGAGGTACAGTTTTCGATCTCCACAAAAAACTTTCTGTCTTGTAAATAGGACCTAAACCAGCTTAGGGCGGTGCCAGCAACACCAACCCAGTCCTCAAGTCTCTGAATGAGGATGCCATGATCAATAGTGTCAAAAGCAGCACTTAAATCTAACAGAAAAAGGACTGAGACTTTTCCTGCGTCAGTGTTTAGTTTGATGTCATTTGTTACCTTTATTAGCGCGGTCTCAGTGCTGTGGTGGGGTCTAAACCCTGACTGGAACATATCATAAGCGTTATTGATTATTAAAAATTCTGTAAGTTGTTGATAGGCAACTTTTTCTAGAATTTTTCCCATGAAAGGCAGATTTGAAATGGGCCGATAATTTTTGAGTGCCAGGGCTTCCAGACTCCTCTTTTTTAGGAGGGGCCTGATGACCGCCGTTTTCAAGGCCATTGGGAATGTTCCAGATTCAAGAGACATATTAACTATTTGTGTAAGTGAAGGTAAAAGACTGCTCAGAACTGACTTGAGAAATCTAGGAGGTAATACATCCAGGCTGCATGTGGAGGAACTCAGACTAGTGATTATCTCCTGGACAGTTTCAATTTGTACTGGTGTAAAGTGCGTCAGCCCAAAAAGCCTCACTGGCGGTTGGATTATTATTTCTATCGTGGAGGTGATGGCGTTTTTGATACCTTGGACTTTGTCATTAAAGAACTGAGCAAACTCATTACATTTAGATTTGGAAGTAAGTTCTGATGGCATCTTAACAGGGGGATTCGTCAATCTATTTACTGTTGAAAACAGAACACGTAGATTGTTGCTACAGCCTTCAATAGTTTCAGAAAAGTAAATTTCCCTCGTTCTACGTAGTTCCCTGTTAAAATTGCACAACGCATCTTTGAAGATCTCATGGTCAACTTTGAGATTTGACTTTCGCCACATCCGCTCGGCCTTCCGGCACTCTCTCTTCTGTGCCCTGACCGAGTCTGCTTTAGTCCATGGCGCTTTTTGCTTGTTTGTAACTATTTTAGCCTTTACAGGAGCAATTGTATCCAGAACATTCAAAACAGTGGTGGTGACAGAGTCAAGTAATTCATCTACAGTAACACACGTGTTCTCAAAGTTTACCCTCCCCATGAACAGTTCGCCTGTATTATCATTTATGTGTCTTCTTCTAACAACCGAAGATTCAGCTGGTGGTTTACAATCAAGACACATGTCAAAAAATACACAGAAATGATCAGACAGAGCAACATTGACCACATTCACATTTGAAATATTAACCCCCTTGGTAATTAACAGATCGAGAGTGTGTCCTCTGCTGTGGGTGGGGCCACTCACATGCTGAGTGAGACCAAAGGTTTCCAGCACAGAGCTCAGCTCTATTGCATATCTATCATTAGCATTATCTACATGTATATTGAAATCACCTATAATGACTAAACCATCAAAATCTGTGCACACAACTGAAAGCAGCTCAGTGAAATGATCAGTGAAACTATGGCATGACTGTGGCGGCTTGTACAAAACAATAATAAGAATGGAAGAAGATTTCTTTTGTTCTATTTTAAAAGAAACATACTCAAATGATGAAAATTTCCCGAGAGACACTCTATGGGAGACAATACGATCTTTAAAAACTGCTGCTATGCCCCCCCCCATTTTATTTTCTCGTGTTTCATATTCAAATTTGAAATTTGGTGGTGAGGCTTCTATTAAAACTGCATCTCCTGTATTATGGTCAAGCCATGTTTCAGTCATAAACATAAAATCAAGATCATACGAACAGATACAATTATTAATTAAAAATGATTTGTTGCATAGTGATCTGACATTAAGTAGAGCAAGGTTAAAATTAATATCAGTGTCAGTGGGTTTAGTTGATTGATTACAAAGAACTGGAATTAGATTTCCAGAGTTGGACCGTCTAACTGCTGTCCTTTTAAATTTGTGTTTATTCAAGTTAAAACACATTTCTGAGCTGGTGCGAGGAACACACACAGTCTCTATTGGTTTAAAAAGTGAACTCTGTTGTACTTTGTTAAGTTCCAGATGCATAACTGAGTCAGCACAGTTCAGTGGCAGGACTGTCGTTACACTGCCAGACGGACAGGGGTCAGTGTTTGCACCACAGTACTCACCCGGTGCTGGTAAGGAGGAGGAGGGGGGTGGTGGGGGCCGAGAAGCCTCAGATGTAAACAGTCACGCCCCCCTCGGGGAGCACTGAACAACATGGCGTAGGAAGTCCGTCAACAAACTGGTGCCGTATCTGTTCGGGTGCAGACCATCTGGACAATAGGCCGCGTGACGCTTCCAGAACAGGCCAAAGTTGTTCACAAAAATAAAGTTAAAAGTGCTGCATGTAGACTGGAGCCACATGTTGAGCGCCACAACGCGACTGTAGAGGCAGTCTCCCCGGTTTACAGTCGGGACTGGACCAGAAATAAAAACGGATAACCCGGAGGACTGGAGGAGGCGGAACAGATCCATAAAGTGCTTCTTTGTGACCTCTGACTGCTGCAGCTTCATATCATTTATACCCACATGCACGATTACCTTGGATATGGTATCGGGCAGGGAGTGAAGCAGAGGAGGGAGACGGATGAGTGCTCCGGGTTGCCCGGAGCTGATTCCCAGCTCCGGGCAACCCACGCTGTGTGCACGGAGACGCTGGAGCAGCGAGAGGAGCAGGCTCGGGTCGCTGCTGCTGACCCGGTGAAGGTAAGTGGTGGTGATGCACTGGGGTCAGAGAAGGGGAATGACCACTCTTTCGTCTGAGGACAGCTTCCTTTAAGAGTGTCTTTCTCGCAGTGGACCTGGATCCACGGACAGCAGTAGAGTTTGCTGCAGAGTCCAGGGGTTCTGCTGAGGGGGCTGGGATGTCAGCGGAGAGGGCTGCATAGCGGTTTGACAGGCTCAGGACATGGGCCACGGCGCTGGATGGCTCCTCGCAGTCCGCAGGCTCTTTATTCCGAACCGGGCACTTAGGTGTAGAACAAGAGGGCCCAGAGCTGACAGACCTCTCCCACACGACAGTGTCACAGTATGCAGCGCTCAGTGACATAAGCCGTGAGTGCTGCCCGCCAGCGACATCAAAAAGTTTGGACACGAGTGACTGTTTATCCTGCAGCTCTGCAGTGAGGCGAAGGACTTCTTTACGGAGGTCTGCAATAGTGGCACGGTCCCTCTCACGAAGCTCCAATGTGAGGCGACTAATGTCGTTCGTGGTCATTGCAGTGTCACTTTCCATGTCTGTGGTGCGCTCGTGGTAGCCTCCGAGCTAGCGCGTTTCGATTGGGTCTTTGTGTTAAAAGACGTGATGCTCTGGAACCATTGCATTTAAGGTAATAAAACACTAGAGTGTACAAAAGACACTAATACACCGTAAAAACGTGTTTAAAAGGCTTTAAAAGGCTTAAAAAGGGTAAACAGAGCAGAGACGTCAAAACGCGTGCTCAGCTTTGTGAAACATAAAATAAGCATTAAACTACAAAGTCTAAAGCAGAGATGTAAAACTGGTTCCAGAAAGAGCCTGTGGTGTGACTGCAGGTTTTAATTCCATCCAAGACGGAGGAAAATCCACCCATTTGCCCAAATCTTCACTTGGAAGATTTGGAAATGAGTAGAATCTGGCGTGCTCCTGCTTGGATGGAATACAGACCTGCAGCCACAGTGGCCCTTTAAGAACCACTTTGAAGGCCTGATCATAGGTTGAGTTCTCCCCCATCAGAGTCGTTGAAGAATACCTTGCTGGATCACGATGGAGTCCAAGCGTAGTTTCATCTCGGCCCTCTCCACGATCCTCTCCTCCACCGTGTTCTCCGTGATGAACCTGAAGACACGCACCTGCTTCTGCTGACCGATCCTGTGAGCGCGGTCCTGAAAGCACGAGAGGAGGAATCACTAGCTGCACCTTTGAACAAACTCCTGTGTGATGCGTTTGGTCTGGAGCACAGAGAGGAGAGCGTTACCATGGCCTGCAGGTCCACTTGCGGATTCCAGTCTGAGTCGTACAGAATGACCACGTCTGCGGTGGCCAGGTTGATGCCCAGACCTCCGGCTCGGGTGCTCAGCATAAAGAGGAACTTGCTGCTGTTGGGTTCATTGAACGCATTGATTGAGATCTGCAGGGAACAAATGCAATCTTTTAACTGGCTATATGAAGAGTGGCTGATTTGTTGTTTGTACATTTGTTTTAGAAAAATACTTTTAAATCATACAATAATAATAAGGTAAACCAGAATACATTGTCACATATGCTTAGGACTGGTCTGGGGCAGGACTCCCTTGGAAAGAGTGAGAATGTCCTGGTTAAATTAATGGTCAATGAAAAAACAAAACATTGATCCTTTTACTCTGTGCTTCCCAAAGTGGGGGTTGCAAAACACTAGCTGGGGGTCACAATATAATTTCCATAATTTTTTTCACATTTTCCCTCAATACAAACCACATTTTAGTGAAAAAGCGCAAATAGCACAATAATTGAATAAGCGGCATTGAAAATAGTCTAGAATATTTTGACATATTTACAGAGTCATAAATTTATATTAAGTTGCGGAAATGCCAATTTTGGGGGTTCTGGCCACAACAGTTACCCATCCTTTTACTGAATCAACTAAATAAACAGACTGGGTCTTGGAAAGGGCTGTCAATGTTTAGTTGATTGGCCAATTGTTTTGACTAATGCTACATTTTGTCGACTATTGTATTTCAAATACAAGAAATAAGTGAAAAATGTGTTGGTGTTTCACACAAGGGTCAAACTCTCAAGTCACATGAAATGACTATATTATATGAATGTCTAACCTTAACTAAAAGGGTAGCACGACTGACACAGTTCAGTCAACGAAGAATGTCTTTTGTCCAGCAGCCCAAGGCAGAAAGATAAAAAAATATAATATTTAATTTTTCTTCAAAGAAAATTACGCCTGCACTGACCGTGAAAGACATGCATCGGTCAACACATTCTACGTGTATGTTGAGTAGGGGTGGGAACCTAAGGGTACCTCACAATACGATACGATACGATACATGATACAAAGCTGACGATAACAATTATATCACGATAAAGATTTTATCACGATATGACGATTATCGATATATTGGTCAGAAATATACCATATGCCAATTTATGGCATAAATAAAAGAAAAATTCTAAGTGAAAAAAATACACTTTATTTCATGATAAATGGAATGGAGATGCGTAATGTAACCATATATTAAGCTTTTTTTTTTTAACTTGGCAAATGCATATCGATAATTTGATTGAGAAAAAAATTGCGATATATCGATATCGCGATATATCGTCACACCCCTAAAGTTGAGAGACATGTCTTAATCAAAGGCAATGAACAAGCGGCACATATGATGACACTTTAAAGTAAAAGTCAGACCTGTCTTTCTTCATGCGGCGTTTGCCCGTCTAGACGACAGTAGCAGTAGTTCCTCCACATACAGTAGTCCTCCAAGATGTCCAGCACCCTGGTCATCTGGCTGAAGATGAGCACACGGGAACCTGGAAACATTGCAACCATCGTTAACCCATCCGTCTGAATGCATCATGCTTTAAATCGGCTAAAGAAGCCTGTAGCTCCTGTATAAAGCTCTGTGATAAAGTCCAAGAGCTTGAATGAATTGTAATTAATGCACATACTAGCAATAGGAGCTTTGTCTCACAAATATCAGAATCAGAATATTCATTAATCTGTATTGTAACTAGTATCCTATACTTGTGCTATTGCACTACTGGTGAGATGCTAAACAGCATTTTGTTGCATTGTTCTGACATTGTAATGAAAATTTAATCTAATCTAATCTTATTTTATCTTGAGCAGTTTGGGCCTCACCTTGCTCCTTGAGCTTGGGCAGCAGTCGGTCCAGCACCACCATCTTGCCAGCGTTGACCACCAGATGGAGGTCGGTGGTGTAGGGGGGGCCCGGCTCCGCTCCGTCGAACAGATACGGGTGATTGCAGCACTTTCTCAGCTGCATGAGGATGTTCAGCAGGCGCATCTTGTCCGTCTTACCGGCTGAATTCAGGATGTCAATGTCCTTCATCAGGATCTTTGTGTACCTGTGCAGCGAAAGTTTCAGTGAGACTGGTCGAACTTATATAATCACTACTATCAACGACAAAGTTATATATAGTTATAGCTGGAGTACACAATTTTTTTGTTTGATGAATCCATGTAGTTTGATACAACAGAAAGAGCCTCGTCTAAGAAACATAACAGAAAAACATGTCTGTGTAAAATGTGCAATATTTTCTAATAAGACACAGAGCTGAGGGGGCGCTGGTACTCTCTCTTTCCCCAAAAAAGTAAATCTAAAAATGTGACGGGCCAAAAAAATATACATGCACGTGAAAACTAGTGACGGCAGAACTTGTCGAACCATTAAGCTCACCCGTTTAAACCACACCAGTCAAGTTTAATCAAATGCAATTTTTTCCACATATATACTATCAGGTTTTCAAAACCAAACTGACACTGTTTAACTGGACATAACATGATTTAACGATGAGGTATTTTAGCGCACTGTTGACCTGTTATGGACAAAGTTATGAGACTTGACACCAGTGAATGTTTCGGGGGCGGAAAACATTCACTGGTGTCTATTTTGACAATAAACGAGCGTCCTGTAGCTACTAAACCTTGGGGTCAAAATAATAAGTATAAGTCCATAAATTCTGGTCTGACAGCACCCCAACCCTAATACAATAAAATACATTCATTGTTATTAACTCATTGAATGCCAGCCTATTTCAGAACAGGTACTCCCACAGTGCCAGCCATTTCTGATGATTTTTACTGATTTTTCAAGACCCACAGAATATTGTGTACTATGACTATCTGAAATCCGACACCAGATTCTAAAAGAATGGACTGTCTACTTTCCTCAGCAAAAAGAATTTTGTTTATAGCTTTTTTCGTTCCCCTGTAATCCTCCGTCGAGTAGAGGGAAGTTTTACTGAAATCACCAGAAATCACCAGAAAGTTGAGAAAAAAGAGGCACAACATGTGCACCTACATGTTTTCAAACCATTCAGAGAGCAATGCTGCCACCTGCTGGCTCGATAAAATATGGTCTCAAGTCATCCCCATACATATTAGATACAATAGACATCTGGGAACGTGAAAATAGCGAAAAAGGCAATTGACGGATTAATCCGTCAATGGCACACAACGTTACTATTTGCTTTGACGTATTTGTGCGTCAATGGGACACAATGAGTTAATGCAGCAGGGGTCCACGCAATTCGAAAAAAGTAGCAAAATATGTTCCGGAAAATACATGGATTTGATTACATAATTAATGTAGTGTAAAGAGTGAACCCTGCTGTTCACTCTTTATATAAATGATCTGCCGACTGTGTGTGTAAGAGTAAGATTATTATGTATGCTGATGACACTGTATGCTCATGGCAAAACTGCAGAGGAGGTCGCAGAAAAACTGACCAATGAGAAGGAAAAAGTTACACAGTGGCTTAAAAATTCATGTCTCACTCTAAATCTAGACAAGACTGTATCTATGCATTTTAAAATTCGTAAAATTCCCAATTGTCCTAGCATTTTCATTGATGGACAAAAAAATGCAATTGCTGAACAGGTAAAGTATTTAGGAGTCATATTGGATCCAAATTTAGGGTTAAAAAAAAAAAAAAAAAAAAATCAAATAGTTAAATTTAACATGGTACAGTTTCGACAAATTAGAAATACACTCACAACAGAGGCCTCAGGAGCCTATCTTAATGCAATGATTGTTCCCCATTTTCTTTACTGTATGACAAGTTGGTCTCAAGCTACTAAATCTGTCCTGAGGCCACTTGAGTCACTTTATAAAAACTCACTAAAAATCCACAATGAAAAAAGCAGACATTTCCATCACTGTCATATTCTTACAAAACATAAAATCTTAAGTTTTGATAACTTAATTAAACACACAAATCTTTGCTTCCTGTTTAAGATCCTTCATGAACTGTATAAATGAGCAATATGAATGTGAGGTTTTAACAAATTGTGCATGTGAAGACTTGTATTTTGACCAAATCCATGAATGTCTTATTTTTAATGTAATATCATCACATCAGCCTGCCCAGCGATTACAGGTGGACATTAGCTCTTGAGCTATAATTAGGGATGTAAATCGGTGACCGGTTAACCGGTGGTTGACCGTCACAGCGTTAACCGGTCAAAGCTGTCGGTTAAAAAAGAGAAAAGGGGGAGAGGGGAGGTCTCTTCATAACGCTATTTTATGCCCTATTTGCACGATGTGACGAGCGGGTCCCTATCTAGCTGTGTGCGCCAATGTAACAGTAAACTCTGGGCCGACTCTCACGCCGTACGCGCCACATATGCACGCACACATGTACACGCACACACACACACACACACACACACACACATTTCCTCCCCCCCTCCATTGACACGTAACATCCACACGCATCATCTCTCCCCTCTGTTACCGCCTGCTAGTTGCACACTGGTGCGGGTCAGAACTACATTGGAGCTTATATTTACACACACATACATACATGTATTGCACACACACACATAGCTTACATATACACACACACAGACACATACATACATGTATTGTACACACACATAGCTTACATATACACACACACAGACATATACACACATACATACATGTATTGTACACACACACATAGCTTACATATACACACACACAGACATATACACACATACATACATGTATTGTACACACACACATACCGGTCTGTCGCGCTCCTCTGTGTCACGGAGCCCAAAGCGTTCTTGCAAATACACGGCTCCAGTCAAACCACATTGACCATGTTTGTGCTGCTGGTCCTTGGCATCAGCTCCACACTGATCACTTTTAAACTTTAGCGGAGACCTGCGAGACGCGGCTCGTCACTCGCTGCCCTGACCATGTGGACGAGCTGTCTTTTGCTTAAAAATGCTTTAAGCCGCAGCACAGAAGAATGGGAAGATTAAAGCAGTTCTCTGTGCGCAAAGGTGCCGAAGCTGTTGCTGGGTTTTGGCGCCGCTGTCTCCGCTCTGATCCAGTAGAACGCAGAGCTGCACTTATGAAAAGTACGCAGCTCGAAATGGCTGTTATTTCAAAGAACGTGGACTATTTTAAACTACGCGGTTAACCGGTTTCAACCGGTTAATGAGGCTCGGTGGTCGGTCATGAAAATTCATAGTTTTTTACATCCCTAGCTATAATAATAATAAAATAATAATAATAATGCATCGGTTTTATATAGCGTTTGGACACTCAAAGACGCTTTACATGTCATTATTCTTTAACTCCATACACGGTGGTGATAAACTACTAACAGCAGTTTGGCACTTTACAGCCGCAGTCGCCCCACTGTGGCTGGTGTTCCCAGAGGTTAAGTGTCTTGCCAAGGACACAACAGCAGACAGTGGGAGTCGATGGTGAAGGTCGGGCTCGAACACACAACCCTCTGGCTCAAAGGCCAATGCTCACCAACTGAGCTACTGTCGCCCTGGTACAATGCATCTTTCCCGTTGAGCTTAATTTTCATTCTACACTGTTCCTGTCATCATGAAAAAATAAACTAAACTAAACTAGTTTAAAGCTGAGTGCTGCAGAGAGTTCGAATGGAACAACGCTTGACAAACAGGTGCTCTTCAAAGACAGGGCAATCTAAGCAGATACAGGAGGTTTTTTGACTCAATCGAAAAAAGGGGTCTGAGGCACTCTGTTGAAGTGAAAAAATATATAAAAGTCCTTTATCAAAAATGGAATGCCTACACGCTTCGACCAAAGTGGTCTTCTCAGCCTCCTGTTTTGACCTCTCGATCACCACACTACGATCGAGACAAAAACATCCTTTATCTATGAAGTTAATGTTGTGTTTGCAAAATCAGCATTAAAACTTTTGGATTTTTAAAAAGTTAATTACTTGTATTTTTATTTCAAATAATTATGATTATTTTAGTTATTGATATTAATAATATCACTACAATTATTATTACAAACACAATATTTTTGTTTTAATGAAGGAATGTGAAAGTCTTGGACCATTCTTGAAAAGTATTATTGTAATTTTACCTTACATGTTGTTATGCTAAATAATAAAACATTTTTAGTAATAAACAATAAATTATTGTTGCTATAACAAAGCTTACCACTCTCGCTGCATCTTGCTCAGGCCGATATACATCTTTATTTCCTTCTTCGGTAGAAGGCTTTTCTCTACGTCAGCCTTGATACGCCGCAACAAGAAAGGACGCAAGACCTAAACAGAAAAAAAGGAAAAATTAGGGGGAAAACTCACAGCTGTTCTTATAGTTTGCATGGATACGTACGGTGTGAAGACGTTCAACCAGTTTCTGGTCGCCCAGGCAGTTATTGGTGTCAAACCACGAGTCAAAGTCCTGACAGAAGAAGAAGACATTCACTTTAAGATCGGAGCAAGTACAAAAAACAATAATAGTAAAAGGATCCAAACTCACCTCAGAGGAGTTGAACACATCGGGCAGCAGGAAGTTGAGCAGTGCCCAGAGCTCGTGCAGGTTGTTCTGCAGCGGTGTTCCGGTCAGCAGCAAACGGTTTGTGGTTTTGAACTCTCGCACGATTTCAGACAACTGCAGAGACATTTTAATAGCTTGAAAATAACCACAATAAATAGGAGACAAAACTCCTCGAGCCAAGCTGATGTCAAACCTTGGATTTCTCATTCTTGATTCTGTGCGCCTCGTCAATGACAAGATATCTCCAGTTAAACTTCTTGAACACGGCCTTCTCGATGATCAGCATTTCGTAGGACGTGACGCAAACGTCCCATTCTCCCGGCAGCAGCACGTCCCGGATCAGTGCGTTCTGGAGTGTGTTAAAACAAGAAAAATTAGACACCATTTTAATATTTTGTCAACTCATGTTCATTTACAATGACTCTCCATAAAAACATCTTGAGTAGAAAATAAAATGGTGAGACAAGAATAAGAGGTAACACCAATGGATTACAATAAATAAATACAGACTTAGATCCTTAATTCGTCCCACAGTGGGGAAATTCTCTATGCTACCACCAGAGGGAGGAATCATTTTGTTTATTATTTTGTGCTGCTGCAAACAGCCATGTGACTGTAAAGAATGTCATTTCACTTGATAAATTAGCAAAACTAATGTAGGGGAAATATATCCATATATTTTCTAAAAAGGTAGAAAACCGCTCAGAGTGACTTAGTGGCGCAATGACATCAAACTGTTTTAAGACTGAGACAGGAGCTTCTACTTTGAGCCAAAAACTCCAGACACGTAGATGGATCTAAAAACAACTCCAGGTCTGTGACTGATGGGATACATTACAGGATGTATTGTATCCCAACAATCAATCTACACGTTTTTAATCTGAGGAACCGCACAAATGGTCGTACCCTCTGGTCCCGGTCCCCAATGAGGCACACGGCGCGCAAGGAGGGCACCCAGCGCTTGAACTCGTTCATCCAGTTGTAGAGGGTGGACTTGGGCACAAGCACCATGTGTGGACCCGTGATGCTACGATAATGCTTCATGTAGCCAAGTAAAGAAATGGTCTGCAGTGTTTTCCCCAAACCCTAAAAACAACAGAAAATATTGAAGCATTTAAGCTACTTCATTCAACTAAATAATTGCGAGCAGGTTATTGTTTGTACCATTTCATCAGCAAGAATGCCGTTAATTCCATTTTCGTATAAAGAAATGAGCCAGTTCAACCCACGGATCTGGTAATCCCTCATCTTTCCGGACTTGACATCTAAGAACACAACATAAAAAAGGTTATTCTCGCTGTATTCATGTTAACGGAATATAAAAATAAAAGGTGCTTACAAGAAGGAGAGTCGTCGAAGCGCGTGCACACGTTTGTCGTCTTGGTGCTCTCACTCAGCAGCTCCTCGTCTTCCTCTTGCTCGGTGCGCCGGTGACGGTTACTGATGAGAAGCGGGAAAGCGACAGGCAATCTTGAGAGTAGGGACTGTGGCATTTTCGTGTGAAATAGTTTACGTTGAAAATATATGAATACACAAGATATGAGGTCTGCCATTTATGTAAAAAGGTACGCAGATATACATTGGACAGTAGAAAATGAATAAAAAAAATAGGATTAATAAATTAGAAATGAATACAACTTTTAAAAATAGCACACCAAGTTTTAGAAAGAAGTAGGGTTATCATTAAGTATCATCACAATAGAATCCGAACTAGTTTTTATTTTTACAGAAATATAATAACGGCTTATTAACCGAGCAAGCGAGGTTAATAAATGTTTTATTATATGACTAATTTTAATTTATGCAAATATTGATCTCCAACTTGGTTTTCCTAATCGTGTTTTTAGCTTTCTGGTCTGCAACGAAGTTGTCAATCTCATCTTGTCTGTTTGTTCTTTCTCCCCTGCTCTTCTCCCTGTACACCAACCACTGCACCTCCAGCCACGACTCCGTGAAGCTGATCAAGTTCGCGGACGACACCACCCTCATTGGACTCATCTCCAACAACGATGAGTCCGCCTACAGGAGGGAGGTGGACCGGCTGGTGTCCTGGTGCAGTGGTAACAACCTGGAGCTGAACGCCCAGAAGACAGTGGAGATGATTGTGGACTTCAGGAAGAGCACTGTCCCCCCGCCCCCACCCTCCGTGATGGACTCCCCCATCACCTCTGTGGAGTCCTTCCGTTTCCTGGGCACCACCATCACCCAGGACCTCAAGTGGGAGCCGACCATCAGCTCCCTCATCAAGAAGGCCCAGCAGAGGATGTACTTCCTGCGGCAGCTCAGGAAAGCCAAGCTGCCTGCACAGATGTTGGTGCAGTTCTACACGGCCATCATCGAGTCCATCCTCACCTCCTCCATCACCGTGTGGTTCGCTGGAGCCACAGTCAGGGACAAACAGAGACTACAGCGCATTGTGCGCTCTGCAGAGGAAGTGATCGGCCGCAGCCTTCCATCGCTGCAGGACCTGTACGTCGCCCGAGCTCGAGGCCGGGCTGGTCGTATCACAGCCGACCCCTCTCACCCTGCACATGGACTATTCCAACCACTCCCCTCAGGCAGGAGGCTGCGGTCCATCAGGACTAGAACCTCCCGCCACAAGAACAGTTTCTTCCCCTCTGCTGTTGGACTCTTGAACACTTCTTAACCTGTCCCCCCGCCCTTTATAAAGTCACTTTACTGCCCATCATACGTCACTTTACTTCACTGTACTGCTGTCACCTTACATTGTGTGCACCATGTGCACTTGTATATTGTAAATAGTAACTGTAACTCTATTTTAAATTTAAATTTATTCTTTAGAAGTGTTTTTTATTCTTATTTTTATTATCTCTTTTTGACTGTTGCACTGAGCCAAAGCAATTTCCAAGTCTGTGACCTCCCGTTACTTACGTTGGCAATAAAAATGATTCTGATTCTGATTCTGATTGTTATTTTTTCTTTGTTATTTTCTGTAATTTCTTCCTCTGGCTTGTCAAACTCGTCCGGATAATAGACTGGGAGAATGCTCCCAGTTGTCGCCCATTATTTATTTTTTACCGAGGAAACTCAGGAAAGAAATCAATTGTGATACGCGCTGCGGACTGATTGTCATGGTAACGGTCTGAGATGGGAAAATATCAGACCGGTAATCAGCCAATCAGAGCGCGCGTACGGTCCAAGTCATATAATAACATTCGATATCATCATTTTATTTTAACTACCCAAGGAGACAACATATAAACGCTGTTGCCCATAAATAATGCACAATTACTGTTTGAAAAAAATACAGCAATAAACATCTTAAAATAACCATGGTAGCAAGACTATTGGTTAGTTTAAAAAATTTCATATTGTAAAAAGAAAAAAAAAGGGGGGCGGGGCATGTATTTGTGCCCAATATGAATGTGACAACTCTAGACCTGTTTTTAATGGGACTTAATGCAACCACATGAATTGAACATAGTAAAAACTCACTCTCCAGCCAAGATCAGGTTCTGCTTCTCATCCTTCTTGATGCGGGGGCGCCCTGGTTTCATCTTCAGAGGGGATGTGGGGGTCTTCTGTCCAGCCGGCTGAACGAAATGGGCAAACAGCTCTGTCTGCTTCAACAAGTATTCAAACCTGTTGGTCCGATCAGTTTGCTGTTCGAAACAAACATGAAAAGGGTAGTTTGATTGGTCACATCAACAGACATGGGCAATATCAACAATAGATAACAAGGATAGATTTACAGTTATTTAACATTTTAACATTTTTCTGCTTCTGGAGGTCATTCACACCATGACTATTACACCAATATTCTAAATGGAGATTATCTGTGTCAAAGGACTGTGCGTGCTAGGTCAAAACTGTTTCACATATCAGACTTATTTGTTAAGAAAGTGGAAGGGACAGCCTTGAGTTACACAAAAGTCTGATACTTGAGAAAAAAATTCTTTCTGTGATAGCCACACACAATGCTTTTACAAAATCAACACATTTAGAGTGCAATTAATCTCAGAAGGAATCTGTTACCTAAACGACTCACTAGTAATGCCCACTAAGATTTGACAGAGTCAGACACAATCATCAACAGAGCCACAAATACCTGACGTCTAAAATAGTGACTTGATTTGTTTAACATCTGAAGTAGATGCTGCTTGTTTACTGGTGCCTATTTAATGTTCTACTACTCCGGAGCATTGTCAGCAAAGTAATGGTTGTTTTTCCTTATATATTTGTCATGACATTTACCTTACTGTACAATAAGGCACTTTAAGTCACTAATGACCTACAGTAGGACTGAAAAACCAGCACTGCTATAGCAACTTTTTATTATACACAATATATCGTGTTCACACTTTATCTTTAATCTTAACATATTTGCACACTTCATGTCTTCTTAAACAATCTGAGTGATACTATCTATGGCAAATGTTACATGTAAATTTCCATATTGTGAGATCAATAATCTTATCTAATCTTATCTTATCAATAAAACCATTCTTTGAAATTCTCTCCAAACAAAACCAGAAGGTAAATCTAAATATTGTTTAGATGTGTTCATAATGTCACAAAGATATGTGCACAATGTATTGGAAGTCTAATGTGAAGAAGTTGAATTCAATATAATAAAAAAGCAGAGGCAGCCTTTTTAGTCACAATCACCCAGCCCAGTTCTTTCTTACCACTTTCTCTTCATAGCCGGCGGAAGATACTTTGGATGGAGAAAAGGAGGAGGACGGTGCATCAAGTCCATCACCCCCTGCCTCAGAGGAAGACTCTTTTCCCGCATCAGAGTCAGATTTCTCCTGAACAAGACACATTTCACAACATTTTTCATAACTTTAGTCATCGTTTTGGCTACGTCGTTTCCACCATAGACGTGTATCAAAGTGACCATGTAGTCCCCGAAGACAACAAAACGTCACCCTCTTTCAGTTTGAAAACAAAAGGCGCTGATGAAGAGACTGTGAGGACTGATCTAGCGTTACATGTTTGAGCAAATTAATGACTGAATATAGTACTCTCGCATGACATAGTTAAGGCGCACATACAGTGGTTGTTGATGCACTTATAAACAAACGCACTGTAGAGGAGACACCAGCGTATACAATGAGTCCGCCTGGCAGCTGCCTCGTTCCAGTGGCTAATGGTAGCAACCGCGGCAGCTAAAGCAGTTAGCTAATACTAACCAGTACATCTCTTCGACCAAGGTTGTATCCAAACTACATACACAAGACGTGCGGCTAGTCAAAACACCGGGATATTGTTTAACACATCCAAACAAGGCCACATCCAGACAATGGCCAACATCGTCTTACCTCAGCTCCCCCGGCTTCATCAAGTTCCGTCTGTAACTGTTCCTCGCGCTGTTCTTCGTTGCTCGGGCTTTCTGACATCGTTGGAAGATTTCGTTTTGTGATCAAAGTAAAGATCCCGTGAGTGTCTATCTAACGTCTCATTCGTTTGTGATAATTGAGGATATGGTGAATTTTACGGTCCTCTCAGGTCTGCAATGAAAGACGAACCAACTCCTCACGCAGCACGTTCCCGCTAGAGGGGTTCTGATCTCGGTACCCGCGAAACTATCACGAAGCTATCGCGAGAGTTCTGAAGATCAGTATGCTCTCTAGTTGTCAACAAACTTGTCAACAAAATTGCATGAATATAACCTTCCTTTGCTTTGACTAATCCCTGTACGACTGAGAGCTTACACAAACTCATCAAACTAATAATTATTTATTAGTTTATTAGTATATGTTGATGGTCCCCCGCACTCGCTTTAAAACCAGAGGAGACAGATCCTTCCAGGCAGTTGCTCCTCGCCTTTGGAATGGGCTTCCTCAGTCTCTGCGCTTGTTAGAGACTGCCGATGATTTTAAGTCCCAACTTAAGACGCATTTGTTTAGACAGTCTATGGTTTAGACAGGCTTTCTCGCCTCACTTTTCATAGGTCGCTGTGAACTATGAAACTGTGTTTTTGTTTTTAAATCTGACTTGTATGTGTATTTAATGTGTTTTAATGTGTGAAGCGCCTTGTGATCCTGGTCTGTGAAAGGCGCTATACAAATAAACTTTACTTACTTACTTATAGCACATTTTATACACATGCTAAAAACATTTATAGAAAATATAAAAAGCCATCTAAACTAAATTAACAACGTAGCGTTCATTTCAATCAAGCAAGAACAAAAATAGAATTCGATCATAGACTAAATTCGACACATTAATTTTATTCAGGCATTTGGAAGCATCTACCTTAAAGGTCCTTCAGCATTTCTGTCGCTGAAATGACGTTAGTGTTCGGTTAATCAGCTGTTTTGGGCAGATGTCAAATAAACCAAAATAAGCACCGTTTTCCTTCACGGGACTATTCACAGCAAACGACCGATAAGAATACCTTGTGTGGACACTGTTGACATGCTCAATTTGGGTGAGAAATCGTTGGTATCCGCGAATGCAACCAGAGATCAGGGCCGTATTTATGCTAAGTCAGAGGCATCGAATGAGCTAACGTCGTTTGTCTTGAAGGTTTATGTGATCGTAATTTTACTGTCATTTTATAATGCGTATTTGGCGAGATTTGGTATATTTATAAACAGGGTTGCCGTATGTGTACATGACAGCTGGTTATAAATATTGTTAACATTTGCTGAAAATTAGCCATAACAAAGCAATTGGCAGCTAGCCTAACTCCAAACAGATAGGGAACAACATGCTAACAACACGTTATAAAGGCTATTTACATTTATTATTCTATTTAATTGAATACATCAACTAGTGTTTATTGCACAATCATATTTTTAATTATCTAAATTATTTTTATATATTCATTTTATTTCCATTTTTGTAATACTATTTCTGGGATAATAGTTAAAAGAAAAATTCTATTTATTTAAGTTTTATGTTTGCACTTTGGAATTTGTTTTTGAAAAGTGTCATAGAAATAACGTTATTTTTAGTTTGGGTTGTATGATTTTAAATAATTCTTCCGTTAATAATTAGCCTATCTAATTCCAGTTTTTCATTGCCATTATATTATTATATAGTTATAATTTGGTAGTTTGTCAAAAATATTAACATTATTTTGGACCTTCCCAGTCCCAGATCCATATGATTGTCCACATTCAGACCATAGAATGATGTCTTATTTATTCTGTTTTTAATTTCTTCAGACCGTCGACATGGACAAGATATTGGAGGGCCTTGTGAGCTCAAATCACCCAGTTCCTGTGAAGAAGGCCATTATAAAGAAAGTAGTCGAGGCGGCGGAAAAAGCTGTCACAGAGGAGCAATGTCAAGCTATGTTTACTCTCACCACTCATCTCATTTTAGTTGGAGAAGATACTTTTCAGAAGCAGGTGGGCTTCCAAGTTCTGGAGGCCTATGCCCGGTACCATCGGCCGGAGTTTGAGCAATACTTCAGCAAAGACTTTGTGTTGGGTCTTCTCCAGCAGGGCTATGGTGAGCTACACCATAAAGACCCGGCCATAATAGACTTCATTCACAGTTGCCTCCGTTTGCTCATTAGCTGCCCCTCTGTGCTGGACATCTTTAGTGTGATCCAGGTGGAGGTCCTGAGGATGGTCTGTGAGCGCCCTGACCCGGTCCTCTGTGCACGCCTAAGCACATTGCTGTCTGACTTTGTACAATGCATCCCAAAGGACAGGACTGGAAGTTTGTTTTGTCAGCAGCTAGTGAGGACCATTAGTTACTTCCAGTGCTTTGCCAATGAAGAACAAGAACTGAGAGAATATGTAAACCAAGTGACCCGGGTGAGCACACTTCTCCAGAACATCTGGAAGGTTGACCCAACTACTCTGCTGCCATCATTGCAGGAGGTCTTTTCTATTATTTCGTCAACAGGTGAAGATCTAATTAAACAGTTCATATTCTTTGCAATACATGAAATGAAGTTAGAACATTGTTTGTGTATATTTGTTAGAACTGACATATGAGCCATCCATTGCCTTGGCCTGTCTGGTCCAGCACATCCCTGTCCAAATGATCACCGTGCTTATCAAGAGCCTGACGACTGACCAGAGTGTTAAAGACTCAAACATGACCAAGGCTCTCTGCAGGTGATCTATTGCTGTAGTTTGAGTGATATTGGCCTGACTATTATAACCGTACTTACTGTGTTTAGGATGATTGATTGGCTTTCCTGGCCTCTGGCCCATCATGTTGATATCTGGGTCATTGCACTGCTGAAAGGACTGGCTGCAGTTCAGAAGTTCACTATCCTCATTGATGTGACACTGTTAAAAATTGAACTAGTGAGTAATAACATGTCATTCAGGGTTAATTTTACTAACAAAAAGTAAATACAAATCAGATCATTTACATCTTTCATGTGCATTTCCTATTTCTGTGTAGGTATTTAATCGGCTGTGGTATCCCATTGTACGTCAGGGAGCACTTGCTGTCCTGTCACATATGCTGTTGAGTTTCCAGCACTCTCCTGAAGCTTTTCATTTGGTATGTCTGCAAACATTTATTTAATCACTTATTATCTGTGACTCACTCTCACAACAGTTAAATGCACTCCCTTTGTCTATGTTGTTATTGTATTCTGTTCATCATCTATGTATCTCAAACTAAACAAATTCGTCAATTTCCATTCACATTTTTGGCGCACATGTTAACCATAATTGATTATTGTATTTTCTTGGAAAACTATTAGGTAGTTCCTCGAGTTGTTCCATTGGCCCAATCCTTAGCCACAGATGGACATTCCAATAGCAAGCCTTTCTTGTTTCAATTCTCGGAGCTTATACACTGTATGATGTACCACTACTCTGGATTTCCAGACCTCTATGACAACATTCTTGAGTCGATCAAGGTAAACATAGCAAATATAGCTAAATACACTTTGCACCTACTTAACTATAATATAATGTAAGACTAATAATTGTCAGGATCTTCCAAAACCCGGAGAAGACAAGATCAAGTTGGTGTTGAATCAAAGTGCCTGGACCTCCCAGTCCAACTCCTTTGCTCCTGGTTTTCTGAGACCGTCTGGAAAATCAGAGACTGGCAAAACAGGTCTGGTCAACCTCGGCAATACCTGCTACATGAACAGCATTCTCCAGACCCTCTTTATGGCCACTGAGTATGTCATAAAATGAAGTGTGTTCTTTCTTTTCATGGATTAATTTCTCACATGTATTGATGTTAACTTTTGTATCTCATTATAGTTTCAGAAGACATGTTTTGTCTTTAAAAATGAATGGATCAGAAAGGCTTATGAAAAAGCTCCAGTTGCTTTTTGCGTTTCTTGCACACACACAGGTCAGTTCAAAACGTCTTGTCACAAATGTCTATCTTGTCTGGCATGAAAGATTCTCATGAGTTTGCTCTTTCCTTACACTAGAGGGCAGCATATGCTCCCAAACATTTCTTGGAAGCATCTCGGCCTCCCTGGTTTAATGCAGGATCCCAGCAGGACTGCTCTGAGTACCTACGGTTTCTTCTTGACCGGTACGATAACTATACATTTTGGTTATACATCACTTGATTCAAATAATTCTTGGAGTCAAGCTATATTACTTTTAATTTTCACCATCATCTGATCTATTAACCTATGTTTTTTCTTCTCATTAGTAATCACCAACTTTTTCTCCCCTCATTTGATGTCAAGGTTGCATGAAGAGGAGAAAACTATTCAGGTGCTGGAGTCATCTCAACCCAAAGATGTCTCAACTAACAGAAATGACATTGGTCCCAACTGTGGGACCTCTTCAGAGGGAAATGTTTCATCATTAACCCAAACAGATTGTGACAGCAGAACGCTAATAGAGAGGATGTTTGGTGGAAAGCTGATTACTGGGATCCGCTGTATGCACTGCAACAGCATCTCTGAGAAAGAGGAGCCTTTTACAGACCTGTCCCTGGCCTTCTGTCCCCCTGCCACCTCTGTGGATGGGGACCTGGCAGCAGGGCCCTTATTTGGGCCTGAACTTCAATGTCAGGGATCTGTCAATGGCGGCAGTGAAAACCCTGAGTCAGCCTCAGTCAAATCCCCAGCCAGCAGTGTTTCTATTGTGCCAGTGACAAGTGAGCCTCCCCTCTCAGTGCCTGACCTGGTCAACTATTTCCTGGCACCAGAAATCCTTGATGCAGATAATGCCTACTTTTGTGAAAAGTGCAGTTCCCTCCAACGTGCTGAGAGGACATTAGAAGTAGTGTCAGCCCCCGAGTACCTCATTTTGACTCTGCTGCGATTCGCTTATGATGCCAAATGCCATGTGCGAAGAAAGATTTTAGACAATGTCACTATTCCATCTGTAATGAAGCTTCCTGTTCACACTCATGTATCCAAACCATCTCCTACATCTTTGCAAGAGGACCCTCCGGAATGCAGTGAGAACCTGGCAAAAAAGCTTAAACCTTCCCAAAATGATGATGATGAGAGGATAGATGTTCCTGTACAGACCACATGCGTTCAGTCTGTCCCTTATGTTCTCTGCTCTGTGGTGATGCATTCAGGTTTGTCCTCAGAAAGCGGGCATTACTACTCTTATGGCCGCAGTGTCTGTGAAGTCGATGGAACACAGCATTTGGCAGATTGCCTTTCTTTAAAAGATGATAATCAGGCAGATTGCATCCCTTCTTGCTCTTCTCTGGCAGCTTCACATGAGCACGGGGGTGCATCTTCACATGGTGGACATTCAGATAAGGACTGGCTTTTGTTTAATGACAGCAGAGTAACTTTTGCCTCCTTCCAATCAGTGCAAAATATTACTAATCGTTTCCCCAAGGATACAGCATATGTGCTCATGTACAGAAAACAAGAGATACCTGGAGGTAATTTAAATGGGACAGAAGCGACAAATGGAATGAGAATGAAAGCAGAGCCACCACTTCATAAGGAGCTTCTGGATGCTATTATCAAAGACAACAAACTCTTCCTACAGGTATAAAAACAAGTTTCAAAACATTCTTTAAACACAAATGTTTGTAATTTTATAATGTCAATGACTGCGTGCTGTGTTTAATTGAAACGTGACATTACAATATACACAAACGGCCTCTAGATGGTGCAGTCGTAACATATTATTCCTTTTGTACCAAATAATTGGGGTTGGGTTCAATTTTTGGAATGGATGTTGTTTTTATTGAGAAATAAAAACAACCACATGGTAGCTCATATTATCTTCTTTTATCAATGATCCAAGTTAATCAAAACAATGGAACATTGAAAAAGTCCCTGCAAGCCTTGTGCAACAATGCAACAAAAGCATTTTTATTTTATTTTTACCTTGTACATTGTTCCAACCTGTACAATATTTGAATGCTGTTTTAGAGTGCATATTCATTTTGTTTGGATTTCTAACTCTGAATTGTTCTCTTTCCTTGTTATTCATTAGGAGCAAGAGCTGAATGCTCGGACCCAAGTTCTGCAAGCCTCATCATCATGCTCATCCAAGCCCAATGGTTCAGACGACAACAACCCTCCGGGGAGCTGTGGCCCGTCTGGTGGGGGGGGAGGAGGAGGCGGCTTCAACACCATCAGCAGACTGGTGTTTTAAGACGCCACACACAACCTGAAGCCTGGATCACCTCAGACAAACAACCTCACAGCAGCATGGTACAGCCTCAAACATACCATGAGGATGACTTTGTACCTCATTGTAATTTGGTTTATTTACCTTTGACTACACTTAATTTTACATATTATGGTCCTGATGAAAATGTTTGTTATTTATTATGGTATACGATTTGAAATGTGACCGTATTTGATTGAAGTACTTAAAGCTGGCGTACCCAACTTTCAAACTAAAATAAAATGGAACCGTGTAATGGAATTTATTTAACCAGTTCCTCGCTGTCAGTTTGGTTCTATCACAAGTTTTCAGCATGCTGGTGTTTTTATCCTCTTACCACCCTCCCTCCTGCCCTCAGCTCTCAGTCCAAAGCGTCAAGTAGTGACTCACAGGGCCCTTTCCCAAAAGTATATTATATAATCTATTAAGAAATATACTTTATTAATATTCTTTCTCAGCAAAAAGGTCCTCGGTTAGAATAAACTCCTCCGGGTGTAACGTCGGTTTGCACTTGCACCTTGTCTCTGCTGTTTATGATTTATGCTTCTTAACACCGGTCCTGACCAAGCTGAACATCTGGAGATGGGGCCCCCCTTTGCACTGTGGTAACCAGGGATGTGTCAAATGCAGAGGATAAATTTCCCCATGGGACAATGAAGTCTCAATAAACGTATTTTTTTCCATAAATAATAAATGTTAGGTACCCCAGCTTTAACTCAATATGAACTGTGGTTCTTCATGTTTTACACTGAAATAAACCACACCTTAGCTGAACTGTCACTGAATGAATAATTGAATGTCATTGATTTGATTTTAGATTAATAATGCAAAGATTTGTAAGTGCTGACCTTGTCTGGTAACTTTCTAACTTTCACCCCATGCCTAAATATTGAATTTCTCATAATTCTTTTAGGCTGCTGTGGTTTTACATGCAATAAATGTACATACTTTAAGGAACCGCTCTGGAAATTTCACGTCAGGCTTTTCTGAAGTGATGTATTGTTGATGGGAGGTTTTTAAGCGTTTTACGAAAATGTACACTGATTATATTGTTTGTCCCTCGTCTGTGATCATTCAGGGAGACTTGTGGGTTAATGGTTTGCTTATTTGTATGCTTTCTGATTATGTTTTTTTAATGCAAACTTTTGATGAGGTCACTTGACTTGTATGTACACCTCATCTGTGTTGTATCCAAATACCCTTTTCCAACAGTAAAAACTATGGTCAAATAGTGTGTCAACATTTAGAAGTTTTTTTTTTTTTTACAGGGACTGTTCTTTGAAATAGGTCACATACGGTATGTGGAATTTGACTCATTCGTTCTTCTGTGTATAGTTTTTGGTGTGAATATTTGGCATATTTGGAAATGATTTCCTCGTTGTCTTGTCAGCAACATCATTACAGTAAAAGGGAAGTAGAAAGTTACATAAAATCCCAACAATTATGTTAACATTGGTTAACATTGGTTGAACGTTTTCTCACAACTAAATGTCACTACATATTACTGTGCAACACAGACATGGAAAAGCCAAACAGTCCAGAGGGTGTGTCGTGTTTGCAAGTCTTTATTGGCTTCTATTTCTTCATCAGTAGCTGCTGAAAGAGGTGGGTCTGCGCTATGACAGTCATCCATCATGGATGAGCAGGGAATGTCCTCCGGGAGAGTGTTTACCATGACAATAGCATTCCAGCAGGATTCCTCAAATACCACCCTGCATTTGCTGGAAGCTCGCACAATTGGATGGCCAGTTTTGCACATGGATCATGGGATTAGGCGCATACTGTAAAAATGATAACGAATATATCAATGAGCTACACGGGCAATACACTGAAGGGATGTCATTCTCATCTAAAATAATAACTTTCTGTGAATTTACGTTTGCGGTCAGAATTTTAAGGTGCAGTCCCCGCATGTTGTGAACAGCTAGAGAATAGTCTAGATTACAACAATAGTGGAACTGCTTGTCCCATGTCTGAGGCGCTTATTTTCTCAGCTCTTTGCCGCCCCCCTCCTCAGTGTCTTTAACTACAGTCACGGTAAAACAGATAGTTAAGAGAGGTAGCTTCCTGTTGCTCCCTTGACAAATAAAGTAAACTGTTGCGGGTAATAATAATAAATGGAAAGTCTGAACAACGTTTCTAGAATACAAAATAACACATTGTTTTCATTTTACACTGAACTTTACATGTAATAATGCAGGTTTTTGAGCAGTAAATATCAAATTAAAGTTATACACATTTCATATCATGATGTCTAAACAAGATACTGGTAATAGCATATCCATTGCAACAAGTGGGAAGCAGCCGTGGGCGCAAAAGTTGCTCAATGCATCAAGCTGACGTCCCTAAACCAGAAAAGAAGGGAGAGTAGCAGGACCATCCTACTCGGCCAATAAACCCAAAGCATCAAATAGTGACTTACGGGGCTCTTTTTGACAAGTGTGCATGAGATAAGGTCTTCATATTGTTTCCTGCAAATTGTTCACTACATTTTTGACAACTTTTACAAGATTCTGTTCGGAAAATCGCAAGCATGTATTATCTATGTAAATAAGTTAGGTATCCCAGCTTTAAAAAAGGTGCAGGTTTTCTTTTATACGGCTACATTCCAAACAATTCAATCCCATCTCCATGACAACATGCGGTTAGCGGACCGCGTCTGAAATGTTGCTCATTGCATCTTTAAAGTTCTGGCATAAATTCAATATAATTCAAAACCATGGTAAAGTACAGCGAGATGCCCTAAAGCCACTGAAGCATTGACCGAAAGACATTTATTCAACGCAATTGGGGTAGAATTAATTAGAATTATTAGCGCAAGGCCATTTCCGGTTGTATTCTGGTGCTCACGGAGGCAGCTTGACAGACGCGTGTTGTGTGAGTTTGGGGAAAGACTGGAGCCACCCTGTCAATCACAATGAAGGAACCATGGGAGTAAACTGCCTGCAATCCTCGCCTGAACCCGTGACTTTTCTTTGAAGCGAGTTTTAAAGGTTTTTTGTTGTTGTTGTTGTTGGACGTAAGCTATGCACCGCGCCACTGATGATTGCGCGAACTGGGAATCTCTCTCTCTCTCCTCTTGGATTAGCATGAGGCGTCACGTCTAACAACAAAACTTCTGCGCCTGTTTGCCCTCAGCGTTACCAAACTCACAAGCAACCGCAGATATTTGTGCATAAGGCGGTGTCGCTGTTGCTTTATATGCCCCTCAAGCCGTGCGTGTGCATATTGGACTACTACTACTACTACTACTGGGGGGGATCTGGTCTGGTCGGAAGCATTTCAAACGACTGCTTTGTCGGTAAGGAGCTTTCTTTCAAAGATTGCTTTCTGATTTTACAAATTCACAATCCCAGCATTGAAAGTGTGGCATTTGTGCTTTATACCGCGGTTCTTTCCAGACGCACAAGGAGAAGACACTCCCAAAACAAAGCAAGACAAACAAGCTTTCTCCAGTGAAGGAAGGTTGGAAAGGGAGCAGATATGAGCGGGGGAGAGGTGGTGTGCTCCGGCTGGCTCAGAAAGTCTCCTCCTGAAAAAAAGTTGAGACGTTACGTAAGTCCTCTTTTTATATCACCCTCTTTCTCGCTGTAGTAAAATAAATAAGCAGGTATCGTTTCGTCAAGTATGTCACGCGTTGTAGGTGTGCGTCTGGCCAGATTTTACGCACCAGAGCAAAGTGCACGACGTGTTGGCCTCATGCTGGTTGGATAATTTTCACTTTTCAGCAAAGTATTGTGTTTGATATGAGTTTATTTGTTCGATTTCTCCACACTCACTCGTCCCATAACATGACAGTTAATTGATATTGTATATGGCACCCAATGTTATTGATTTGACGTCCACATTCACCCGGTACAACTCGCATTTCCAAAACCATTTTACGTGACGCATCCTATATTGGTCCCTTTTTGTTTATGATGCCATTCACAAACAGTAGCTAGAGGAATGCCTTAACATTAGTTCAGCAAAAAGAGTTAAAGTTGGGGAACGTAACTTCAATCCACAAACATGAAACTAATTCACAAAATCCATCTTACTACTTCCCCGCTCTCCAAACAGTTTTTTATCATCAGTTTTCATATGCTTATGAACACCCTCAATCGACTCTCTGTCCAAATCGTCAGGTAGTGACTCACAGGGCTTTATCCTATAAGTATAGATTACATGCTTTCTAATGAGATTTTTACCAACGTCACAACATTTTACTTTCTTTTGGGACAAACAAAATGTACTACAGTATTTATGAAACAAAAAAGTTACATACCCCAGTCTTAGGAATGCTTTCTAATATTGTTGGCCTTTTCAGTCACACAAAAACTGGTTGATTTATTATGTTTTACACCAAGAAGAAAATGTATTTGAAAAGTATATACATATTGTCATCAGCGTTGTGAGTGGTAAGGGTTAACAGAGACTGCTTTCAACACATCACAAGGTTCCCACACTCACACATGACCCAGTGTTGTGCTTTGAAATAATAACAAATTAGCCAGGACAAGATAGACTGCCAATGACTTTTCCTTGTTGACCGCGCAATTTTCTTTGGTAATTTGTTGTGCTGCCTCCGAGAAGGAACAACAGCTCTGATTCAAAAAGCAATTAACTTTAAGAGAATAAGATATTTGCACAGCTATTGCGGTTTTCCCTCTAGATGGCTGGATATTTTTTTTCTGCCGTTGGGATTGAATTACGCGGCTTTCAGCTTGAGCTGGATACCACGTGTGCAATGAAAGCTTTTAAATGTAGAAAGTAGATGGGAGTCACAAAAGTGTATTGTCTGTTTTGGGGGGGATGCTGGAATGTCAGGTGCTTGGAGCAATCTCGTTGGAGTTACAATTTGTTTTCACTGGAGGCATGATGAATTGAAAAAAATATGGCTTTATAATGGGTATTTAAGGCACAATTCAGCTTTAACGGTTACTGCCACTGTTTATCAATATCCTAGGGAGCCTGAGCTTTACTGAGAAGGCAGAGTGGACATC